CTTCTCTCGCCGTCGCCGCCGTCTGCGTCGTCCCCCTCTACGTCTTCGTCCTCCTCGTCCTCCTCGCCGTCGTCGTCCTCCTCGTCGTTGTCGGCGGCGCCGTCGTCCTCGTCGTCGTCGGCGGCGGAGTCGGCATCCCCATCGTCGGTGGCGGCGTCGTCGGCGTCCTCGCCGCCGCGGCCGCGCCCGCGGCCCGCGGCGCCCCTCCGGCGGGCACGCCTTGCGAGAGGACGCCGCCGACGCGCACGGGCAGGAGGTGGCCCGCATGGAGAGCGAGGTGCAGGCCGGCGGACGGCCGCCGCCGCTTCGGGTATAGCCAGGATCCCAGGTAAGGTTGTGGAGGGCGATCAATGGAGAGGGAGCATGTTGCCAAATCATTCCCAAATGTCTAAAACGTGTTAACACATGTTTTAAGCATGCAAAAACAGGGTTGAAACATGTTCATACATTATTCTTGCATGTTCAAAACATTTTAAATCCAATGATCGGACTGTGAGGGTGTCCATTGTCGTGGCATCCACAAAGGTAAGGGGACACGGTTAGTAGTAGGGTCCCAGATCCCCTAAATTGGCCACCAGAATCGCTGAACCAGGTCTGCCATCGGTGTTTTTTTCAGGTGACGGCAGTTCCGGTGAGTGGAACGGGGCGGGGGGGTCGTCCCCCAGCACACAACACTAAACCAGGTCCCTCTAAACGCAGTTCTTACAACGCCCGACCGCTGGCCGTCGACGTCGGCCGGCAGGTCCTGATGTAGCCAGGACCTTTGAGAAGGGGAGCCGGTCACTGACCTTCAGATCCTCAAGCAGTGGCGAAGCGTCTTGGCTCGCCTATAGGCTCACAAAATAATGTTCGAAGAACCTTTTAAGGTGTCAAGGAGATGTTCTTCTAACAGTTATGGCTGGGACTGTCTTGCTTTAACACATCGGGTTTATGTTCTAAGAACATCGTTTGTTGTTCTTAGATCATCCTTGAGGTTCTAAGAACAAGTCGTGGTAGGCTGATAGGAATGCCAGGACGGTCGGTCCCTGCTCAAGGGAAGGGAAGCCGGTCAGTGACCCTCAGATCCTGGCGTCGCAATGTTGTTCGCGTTGGGCATTTGTCGCCAGGTTTCGGGCCCCTCGTGAGGCCCGCACAGATGCATCCAGGTCGAACGATGGCGCAGGCAGAGGGGGACTACAGGGCTCTGGTCATGATTTTTCGCTATGTTTTTTGTCGGGGGGGGGGCAATGTCAGATCTCAGGGTAGTGATGGGGCCCCGAGACACAACAAACCAAAGTCTGCTGGAGCTGGTGCTTCTTCGGGTGGCGGCAGCTCCCTGTAGGGGACTGATGCGGGGTGAGGCGCCCCCCTGGTACACATCATTGAACCAGGCCCGCGAAGCCAAGTTCTGTCAACGCCCGACGGGTAACGGGGTTCAGCCCAGGCGGGGCTCAGCCAGAGCGCCCTCTCTGCTTTCTCTGGTCGCGTCGTCCCTTCATCCGTCGTTTCTTCCCTCTGCCACTGGGCTTCTCTGGCGCTGGTGAGGAATGCATTTGTGCCGCCGCTTGGGTCCGCGTCAGCGCCCGATGTTGCGCGCGGCGCTGCTGGTGGGACACAAGAAGTGACAGGCGTCTGCCGGCAGGTGGCGGGCTTCAGCGCAAACGAGGATCAGTTGGCTTGGATCTTGCCCAAGCAAGACTTGGGAGCCGCTCTCGGCCCTGGTCGGGTGTGGTCGGACGGCGCCAGGACGCGGATCAATCCGTTCCAGAGCGCTCCAGCACGCTCTCAGAGCACTCCGGATCGCTGTGAGCAGGCCGCGGCTCCCGACACGTCTTCCAGAGCCGCTGGACCTCAGAGATCCTCCATGCCTCCAGGATGCATCCAGGACGAGGACACCCTCGGGCGAGGATGATCCTCACCCGAGGGTGTCCTCGTCCTGGCTTCGCCTTTTGTGGGAAGCCTCGCGTAGATTTTAGCGCAGCTCCCTCTTGGGCCCACGCCCGACGGCGGCCGTCGGGTTGCCGCTGGCCGCCTCTCTGCGACCGTCGGCCGCCGCCGCCGGGCGCCGACGGTTGCCGCGGGCCCCCGCTGCGGTCGCCGCGGGGACGGCGGCCGTCGGGCCGCGAAGTTGTTCTTCGCCGTGGCTCAAGCAGTGGCGAAGCGTGTTGGTTCGCCTATAGGCCTACCAGAGAATGTTCTAAGAGCCTTTTCAGGTGTCAAGGACATGTTCTTCGAACAGTTCTGGCTGGGATTGTCTTGGTTTAACACATCGGGGCTTATGTTCTTAGAACATTGGGTTAGTTCTCGGAGCATTTTTAAATTCTAAGAACATTTCGTGGTAGGCCTATCGGAATGCCGGGACGGTCGGCCCCTGCTCAAGTGACGAGAGTGTGCCCGAATTTCTTCAGGTTTCAGGGTGGTCCGCTCCTCCTCACTGCGCTCTGAGCTGCCGAGGTCCGCGAAGAAGGAAGTCTCCCACTGTGTGTCAATGTGTGCGCAGCGCCACCGCCAGAGGTCGGTGGACGGCCGCCAGTGTCCCACTATATCGCCACCTGCGGCTCTCGCCTCGTGCGGGAGCGTTTTCGCGGCGACGTCTCTGCGCAGCTCTGCTGCTGCAAGGGCCCCGTTCGCCTTCGCCTCGCGTGCCTTGGCTTTGGTCAGGCTCTCCTGGCAACGCGTGACCTGAGCAGCAGCATGTTCATGTTGAAGTGAAGCATTCTTCCACACCCCTTCGGCCCGTCGTACCGCTTCGGCTGCCGGGACGAAAAGGCATCGACGATGGACTTGGTTCCTTCTTCGCTTGTTCGTATAGTACCTGATTCAGCGTGGGATCCTTGGTGATCGCAGCCATCTGCGCCAACAGACCATGTACGACGGGATGTGACTTGGAAGTATCAACAAGCACAGCAGGTTCAGACTTCATAGGCAACTTGACTTTGTGGAGTTTCACCAGCCCAGGGCGTTGTCTGCATGTGCATTTGTTATTTTGTAAGACGTCGTTCCGCTCTTGTGTTCTGCAAGCTTTGCAAGTGGACCACACTCGATGAGTGGTGGTCGACATCGTTTGACCGTGCTTTTTTCCAGCGAGAGCGCCTACTCTCCCGAGCAGGTGGCTCGCTGCCCCTCAGGCGCGGCGTGGAAGTGAGAGGCCTTTGACTTCAGACGGCAACAACATGATGTGCTCAAGCCAAACTGTTCTTGAGAGGAGATGCAGAAGGAAGAGACGACGGAGCGGGAGGAGGAGGAGACGAAGGCTGAGCTGGAGGAGGACACGAAGGATCAGGAGACGAAGGGGGGAGACGGAGGAGGAGCCGGAGGAGGAGGAGGAGGGGGAGGAGGAGGAGGAGGAGGAGGAGGAGGAGGAGGAGGAGGATAAGGCGAAGGAGCCGGCGAAGGAGGGGGACCTTGCGCGGGCCGCCAGGCCCGCCGATCTCGCGAGGGCGCAGGGCCGCGGCCGCGCATCCCCGCCGCGGGCAGGCGGAGCGGAAGCGTTGGGCCGAGGAGGAGTTGGCTGAGGGCGTGGCCGCGGGCCCAGCCGCGGCTCCTCCGGCGTTCTCGGTCGTCCTCCTCCTCCTCGTCCTCCTCCTCCTCTCCCTGGGCATCTTCTCTGCCATCTCCAGGGGCCTCCTCCTTCTCCTCCTCCTCCTCCTCCTCCTCCTCCTCCTCCTCCTCCTCCTCCTCCTCCTCCCCCTCTCCCCGGGCGTCTTCTCCGCCATCTCCAGGGGCCTCCTCGTCCTCTCCAGGGGCCTCGTTCTCGCCATCTCCAGGGGCCTCCACCTCGTCCTCGTCCTCCGCCCGGGCCTCGCGCTCGCCATCTCCAGAGGCCTCCTCCTCGTGGGTCGGCGGGTTCCCAGGTCCGCGCCGGCGTCCCGCGCGGGTGGCGTTCCGCGGGCGGCCAGCGCGGGAGTCCCCCTGGGCCTCCGGGGAACCCCGGTCTCGTGTCCGAGGGTTGGGGAGGAGGGGGGCGTGGGAGCATCTTCACTCGTGTCCGACGGGGGGGGGAGGGGAGCATCTTCGCTCGTCCTTTCCCTCGTCCGCCTCGACCTCCTCGTCCTGGCGCCCTTGCGGAGCGAAGGGAGGGGAGGGGAGCATCTTCACTCGTCCTTTCCCTCGTCCGCCTCGACCTCCTCGTCCTGGCGCCCTTGCGGAGCGAAGCCGTGCCAGGGAGGAGGCATCGAGGTTCTGCCTCGGGCGGTCGTCGTCGTCCTCGTCCTGGCGCTCCTGCGGAGCGAAGCCGTGCCAGAGAGGAGGCATCGAGGTTCTGCCTCGGGCTGTCGTCGTCCTCCTGGCGCTCCTCCTCGTCCGCGGAAAAACCAGGGGCGGAGCTGGCCGAGGGCCTGGCCGCCGACCCGACCTGGCCAGGGCTCATTTGTCCTCGGTCCTCCTCCACCTCGCACCCACCCGAAGGGACTCGTGATGTCAGGTAGCGAGCCTCTCTTACGGGGCCACCTCGGAGCTCGGTCCTTGAGCTACGGGGTGTGCCCCCTGCCAGCCCTAGTGAGAAGGCAGGGCTGTAGCACAACAAACCGACGTCTTGCATCCACAGCCACTGCGCCTTGGCCTTCCCGGGGAAGGCCGCGGCGCAGTGGACGTGGGCCACGCTCCGGCCTCCTGGGACCTGACTTTCACCCACATCCGCTGCGGCCTCTGGCTGCGGGGGCCCTCCGACCCGGCGGGCGTGGGCACAACGCCTTGCCCGCGGCAAGGGCGGCGCGGCGGGCAGCGAGAGGCAGCGGCAGGCGAGGGCGCGGGGCCTGCGGCAGCGGCAGCGGGGGGGGGGGCTCGCCGTCGCCCTCGTCTCGCCCCCGACCTCGCCTCGCACTCGCCCTCTGCACTCCTCCCTCTTCTCCCCTCCCCCACCCTTGTCGGCCGGCGTCCACTCGAGCCGCCTGGGGCTCTGGCTCGTCGCTCGGGTTTCCAGCCCTCGAGCCTGCGAGCTGCCTTTTGCTCGGGGATCCGGATTTTCGGTTCCGCCTGAGGATGGTGGCCGCGCTGCGGAGAGCAAGCATAGCTACAACAAACATCGGTCCTTTCCTTGTCCCCGCCCTCATCTCGAAGAAGAAGAAGAACAAGGAATTGCATAAGCATATGCAGCATAAACGTTCGGAGCTCCGCGCGGGGTTCTCGGATCTGTGCTGGAGCCCCCCATGCGGCGCCTCTGGCGCCGCCCTCCAGGAAGAGGGGTCCAGCACCGACCCATCAAATCCGCACGGTCTTAAACAAGTTAGTAACTGTATACATATATATACATATATATATGGATGTAGATATGCAGTTTTCTCTTCTCACCGTGTCCAGTTGTATTAGTGTTATTCATATGTCGTATACTCTTATTTGCTTCCTTTCCCGTCCTCCGCCGCCACCTCCTCCTCCCCTCCTTTCGATGATCTCAATGACAAGTGTTCGCCGAACGTGTGCTTACCCCGTTCGGCCCTCATGATAGTGGCTGCGTCGTCTCAAAGGGCGTCGGTCCGGTGGACAAGCACACGTTGGCACCAACACACACTCTAAGGATCGTCGAGGTCCTTCTCATGACTCCTGGGTACAAGAAAAGACAGGGCAAAGAGGCAGGCCCGACCTAGCAGCAGTAAGAAAGCATGAGGGCAGAGAAGCGACCATGACAAACACAATCTCGAGCATGCAGAGTATGCTGCGGGGCCAGGTAACGCCAAGACTCCCTTCCTTGTCCTGGCTCCTCCGCCTCCTCCTCCTTCTCCTCCTCCTCAGAAGTCTCGAGTAGCGGGCGGCACTTTCGGGACACTCGGACTTCAGGAGCGGGCTGGACAGGACTGGACTCAGGACTCCCCTCTTCCTCCTCCTCCTCCTCCTCCTCCTCCTCCTCCTCCTCTTCGTCCTCTTCCTCCTCACCCCCCGCCCCTCAGGACTCCCCTCCTCCGGACTCCCCTCCCCCTCCTCCTCCTCCTCATCCTCCTCCTCTCCTCCTCCTCCTCCTCCTGCCCTCTCCTCCTCCTCCTCCTCCTCCTCCTCCTCCTCCTCCTCCTCCCTCCTCCTCCTCCTCCTCAGGACTCCCCTCCTCCTCCTGACTCCCCCTTCCTGCTCCCGGCGCCTCCTCTCCGGGGAGCAGGGCGAGGCCACGGGGCGGGAGGCACGGCGCGGCGCGGGGCGGCGCGCCGTCGCCGAGGCGGCCGACCGCGTCGCGCAGCTGAGCGAGGAGCGGTCCCGCGTCCTGGAGGAGCGCCCCGTGTGGGGCGCTGCCGCGGGGCGCCCCGCCGCCGTGGGGGGGAACGTCGGGCGGGGCCAGGGCGAGGAGAGCTCCGTTCCAGGGCGTTCCGGGGACGGTCTCTGAGAGCGCTCCAGAACGCTTTTTGAGAAGGCCGCGGCGCCCGAGACATGCCCCAGAGCCGCCGGATCTCACAGATTTCCGATTCATCGGGGCTCAAGAGACGGGGGTCAATTCAAACGGGGGTTAGCCAGGGCACTGGATCCTGCAGGATCCTTCGAAGACCCCCTCTGGCCTCCGGCTGACCCGGGTTGGCGAGCCGCTCGTGGCCGCGACGCGGCCGCGCATATTGGCTGACCTGGGTTTGCGAAGCCCTGTGTTGCAGTTTCTGTTCCTGCATTGCAGTTGTTAGGTTTCTTGCTGACCCGGGCCTGATTGGCCCGGGTTAGCAGGCCCCCGAATTCATCCTCACACGATGTTGTTCTCGCCGAAAGAGTGTCGAAACAGTCTCCCAGGGCCCGACACGTGACAACTCTCGAGTTTCGATGTTTCTTGGTGCTCGAAATTCTTTCTGGTGATCACGGTTAAAGTAGCTTGGAGCATCTCGCCCCGGCTTCGTCTCAAAGCGAGTCTTGAGGGAAACGGGCCCTGAGGTTTCTCGCTGTGTCTGGGCCGTCGGGGCCTCCACGGGCCCCCGGACTGCCAGAATCAGGAGGGAACAAAACACACAGACACAATGAATCGTCGACTCCCAGGAAGGGAATATGGGAAGTGGGGGGGAAGACGAAAACTTTTAAAAAATGAGAACATATAGGGAATTCTGTTATTTGTGTCTATTTATTGGTGTGTGTCCCAGGGCCCCTTCACAGAAGACGACTCAGGGTGACGATCTCGCTGGACCCGTTTCCCTCAGAACCCGCTTCCCTCATGCGAATCTCGGGAGAGGATGTGGTCGAGCGGGCCAGAGGTGTGCTAAGATCTGCGGCAAGAGGTACTGAACACATTCGGGAGCATGTCCATCCTGTCGTAGGAGTGATGGATCGCTTGAGCCTTCTACAGCCTGCGAGCCGCACCCCCTGACCCAGCCAGCGCCTCGGGCGTCCCATCGGACTTGGACGGGGTCGAAGAGGAGACAGCGGCCGCGGGGCTCTCTGGCTCGCGTATCCGGAAGGAGCGCCGCTCGGGCGATGCCGCGGGGCTCTGCTGTCGTCCTCGCGACGGGACAGAAAAATCTTGACGGGGCGGTTCTGCCGTTTGCGACCCCAGGGGCCCCCAAAGGCGGCTCGGGATGAAACGCTGGTTCCAGGGAATGAAGGTGTCAGGGTTTTCGGGGTCCACGTTGTGAAAAAGACGCGACGCTGGGGGGTTGGGTCTCGGAGTTGGGTCTCGAGGACGGATCGGAGCCCAGGCTACCAGGACATTGCAGACCAGGATTTTGCCTGATCCAGCGCAAGAATCCGAAGTTTGAGGAATGTTTCAATCTACGGCTGCAGTTTTCTTGTGTGCGCCAACGTCCTGGTTCATCAGTGTCTCGGTTCACGGGGCCCTGAGTGGGGACTCGAGATTCAAGCTCCGAAGCCCAAGGTTATTGAACATGTGACACACTTTGTGGGCCTTGACGATGCTCCTCGCTGCCACTGCGGGATTTCATTTTTGGTGACTCTGGCCGTAACGCGCCCGGGAGAGGTCCCGTCGGCCAATCTTTGAGGGTGGACAGAGGCGGGCGGAGGAGGAGGAGGAGGAGTAGGTGGGGATGAGGGGGGGAGGGGTGTTGGAGTGAGGAAGGAGGAATGAGCAGGGACCAAGGGCCAGGAAGCAGGGAACAGGGAGCAGGCAGCAATTCTCGCGCCAGCCTGAGTAGTGTGTTTGCCTTCAGGAGAAATCAGGAGCCAGGGGTGTGCGGAGATGAATGGGGGAGTGCTAATGTCCGACACCGGTTTCTAAAATGATGACCCCCCCCTCCCCCCCCCTGGATCCCGACTGCCATTAATTCGCATCCGAATATTTTCATCACATATCGCCGGTCTGATGAGGCCATCTTGAGCCAACTTGGACCATGTTGCGCCATCTTGGGGGCCATGTTAAAGCACTTGTGGCCCTCTCGGCACCAGAGGGCGTGCGCAAGGGATGGTCTCCCAAGTGCGGTCTCTTTCCACGCCAGGCTTGGGCGTGTCAGGTGTGGCTTGTTTGCAACCCAGACAGGGTGCTCGGTGCACAGGGAGTGGTCCCTGAGCGCAGTCTCTATCCACGCTGGGGTCGCAGGGCGTGGCAGGCGTGGCCTGACGCCAAGAGGGGGTGCGCAGGAGTCTGCCCCTGCACGCAGGGCGCCAGGGCGGTCGCGGGGACGTCTCCAACGATCCAGTTTGCCCCGCCTCCCTTTTGTTTCCTATAGGCGCACTACAGCGCTGGAGAAAACCATGTTTTGATTGTCTCCCCAAAATAATTTACATCCAGCGAACATGTGGAGTAACCCTACTTAGCGAGTTAAGACAACAGACAAAACACACACCTGACGCAAGGGCGCGGCATGGTACTGGCCGAAAGAGCGGTGCTGGGCCCAAAACCAAGCCCTTGGTTACCAAGGGAAGGATATAGCAACAGAGAGCAATGAGAAGCATGCAGGGGGCCCAGCAGCCTAGTTTGCGCGAGGGCATCGGAATCCGCGTCTTGAGGCAGTCTGGCTTCCACAGCCTCGGTGTCAGTACAGATTCTGCTGCAGCAGCTCTGCCGGGCGGAGTATGATTGAGGACGAGGGGAGCAGGGTACGAAAGACAGGCATGACAAAATGGCAGGATTGTGCGCAGACGGGGCGCAGGTCGGGGAGACCTCGGCACCCACGCCGGAAAGAGGCAATCGCGCGCTGTTCCAGGACAAAGGGGCGTTGCCCAAGCGGTCTTTGCCTCAGGCCAGTCCTCGTGTCTGGCAAGGGCCTGAAGCTGCCAGGCGCAAGACACGTGCCAGCGGGAAGAGACGGCGGTGGCGTCGCCTTGCGCTGAACCTGGGCAGACATGCCCAATGCACTGCAGGAGCGGCGAGTGATAGCGGGTCCTCCTGGCGGGGGCGCCGCTCCGCAGAGACTCGACGCTCAGGGGTAGCGTTGCGCGGCCGGCTCTCGCGGCGGGCGCCCGGCGGCAGAAGACCGCGCCAGTGTCGGCAGGTGGCGGCCCCCCCTGGCGGGAGGGCCGCTTTGCAGAGACTGGTCGCTCGGGGCCAGCGTGCCGCCGCTGGCGTGTCCTGAGATGCGCTGCTGCCGTTTCGATGGCATTTGAAAGGAGGCCGACTCGGGCGTGGGGTAGCGAGGTGGGCATGACCTATGGCGGCCTCAGCAGCATCTGTCCAGTGCCAACGTGCCCCCAAGGACTGCGCTCGTAAAGCCTACTGGCATCCACATGCACTGTCCCGAGGTTGGCGACGGTTGGTTGGACACCCGGGCAATGTGAGCATCGTCTGCTCGCATCATGCGGTGGCCAGCAGCTCGCTGAACAGCTGCTGACAACGGCTGGCTGCTCACGCCTACCATCGAGGCGGTTGCACTCTCAGGTGGTCGTGGCATTGAAGGCTGTTGAAAGGAGAGAGCATGAGTGGAAGCAGGGGAGTTACCAGCCTGAGACAGAGCCCCATGCCTATGATTGACATCACCTTATTTCGATGCCGATCTGAAAATTTCCCCCTCAGTTTCTGAGAGCGCATTCCTGAGATTGTCAGTTTGGCATCGCCCTCGTGCTCGTCCATCTTAGGCTTACCTCGGGCCTGTCCCTCTACAGAGGGAATACTCAACACAAATAGTCAAACAAAACGGTCTGGGGATTAGTTTTTTTTTCAAATATGTTTTGACCATTTGGGAGTATGTTTTGAGTATTTCTTATTGTTCGTCGAAGATCCCCCTGTAGGGAAGGGCACGCCCGACTTAATCTTAGGCAGAGGGATCTGCTCGAGGCTTGCTAGGGGAGGCGCTGCCGGGCGGCAGCCGCGGAGCCCCGTGGACGAGGGGGCCGTGCCCGTCTGCGGCGGCCTGCGTTCCCAGGTGGGCGAGGTCGTGGAAGGCATCGGGCGTAGCGTGGTGGTCTGGGCTTGAGCCGGGCCCGTCCCTCTGCAGGAAGAATATTCAAAAATAGTTAAAAAATAGTCTGGAGACGAATTTTTGAATATTTGTTGACCATTTCGGAGCATTTTTGGAATATGTTTTATCTTGCGTCCAAAATCTCCCTGTAAGAGGACAGGCCCGACTTAAGTCTAGGCCTCCTAGATGGTCGGAGGATCGCGCCGCATCGCCGATGCATCGCCGATGTGGCTCGATGCGGAGCTCAGTCTTCTTCGCGCGGGCGTTGCCGATGCATCGCCGGTGCGTCGCCGATGTATCGTCGATGCATGGCCAATGCATCAGCGATTCATCGGCGATCCAGTGCGATCCTCCGACGCCATCTACTCGGACCCCAGCTAGGAGGCCTTTACGCACTGGGGGGGGGGGCAACAAAATGGGGGGGATGGGGGGAGGCGAAAGTTGCACCTTTTGTACAACTTGAAGGGGCCCCTTGGGGCCCCACAGGGGGAACGAGACATGCACTCTTTTTCGCCCGCTCACTCCGCAGCATGCAGCGCCAAGAGGGCCGACCCGTCTGCGTCGGCCTACAGCCTTAGTGTTCGAGGCCGTGGAAGGCACGTATCCATAATCCAAGAGCATTCGTAAGACGACCAATTCAGGGGGTCCGGTGCGGACCTCCTGAGATTCCATGGGGTCCGGTCCGGACCTATTGACTCCCATCACGAGGGTTTTCTTTTCCCTCCTGATCTTCCTCGACAGTAGTCTGTTAGCTTCGCTCGTGTCTTCCGCGTCGCCCTCCTCCTTGGTACTCCTTGGCATTACCCTGGGCGGCACGCGCCTGCGCACGGCCACCTGCCGTCCGGCGGGGGTCGGAGCAGCCGCCCAGTCGCCTCCCGCCAGTCAGGAGGGGAAAAAACACGCAGACACAATCCATCGGCGATCCCCAGGAAAAGGTGGGAAGAATATGGGGAGGGGGGGGGAAGAGAAAAACCCTGAAAATATGGCAAAATATGGGGAATCCTGCGACTTGTGTGCATTTATTTATATATATATATATATATATATATATATATGTGTGTGTGTGTGTGTGTGTGTGTGTGTGTGTGTGTGTGTGTGTGTGTGTGTCCTTGGGCCCCTTGAGCCATGGCTACCCATACTGCATCCCCTTCCGAGAGTCCTCGGGCGGCTCGGTGTCTGGCGGGGGCGCCAAACGGGGGCCTAGAGGTCGACACCAACATCCACATCGGCTGTGTGCCTCCGCCGAGTGAACCGAGCATTTTCTTTGGGTGGAGGGCAAAGGGTGAAATCTGAAATGCCGTTTCGATTGATCTTCGAGGCTTGAATCTGCAACAAGTGGATCACAAGACGGATGGATTTTCGAGGTGCAAACGCCCATATCGATTCCACCCTGAGCCCTCCACCCTAAGAAAATGCTCAGGTGAAGATGCTCCCGATCTCGGCGATGGCAGTACTACTCGGGCGCCATAGGTGGCCGAACTATGATTGCCAACGCCAACATCTATGATAATGTTTGTCCCTGGTGGAGGCAGCCCCCTGTGTGGGTGATCGTGCGCATCTCCCGGCCTCTAAGACGTGTGTGCAGCGTGGGCAAACAAATATACGTATACGTATCCGCGGCCTCGCGGGCCGGGCTCTTGGGCCGCGCCTTCGCGGATAAGGGGCGCTTTTTCGCAGATGCCACGCGCGAAACGTACCCGCGAGACCGCGTATCCACAGGATCGCGCCCCAGAATCTTGTCCCCGAGGGCGCGGATACGGATATGTTCGCCGCTCGCGAGTGCACCGTACTGCGTTGGTGGCTCCCGCGGCGTCGTCGATCTTCGACACTGGCATGGCACGGTGCATCGTTTTTCGTCCGTCGGAGCCGCAATGTTCCGTACCGCTTTGGAGCGGGGCCTGAAGAGAGTCCGTACATGGTACGGTGCATGTGCGCCGTTCTCGTGGAATGGCGTGGCTGCAGGGGGGGTGGTAGCGGCCGCCGGGCGCCGCCTGGCGCGTGCTCGCAGTCTTAGGGGAGACGACTGGGCCGACGCTGAAGGAGGGAGGATGGAGGAGGGACGAGGGCATCTAGGGCAAGGTCGGGTGTCTCGCCGCGCTGACATGGCCGTCGGTGGCAACAAAAGCAACGGCAGCATGGAGGAGCAGGAGAGGGAGCAGGAGCAGCATCCAGAGGGATTTTCCCAGGCTCGAGAATCTAGACGGTTGACGTTTTGACTCTGCATGGGCCTCCAGAGGCTTCCTTGAACTCGCTCCCCCCCTCCAGGTCGTCCCCTCAGGCCGCCCCCCCCAACCTCCCCGAAGGCCGGCCCCATGTGCTGCCTTGTTCCCGACCCCTCTCCCCTCTCCAGCCGCCCATGCCCCTCCACGATGACCAGGGATTTGCCCATAACCCCGCCTGGGGGGATCGATCTTCGGGACCTCGGCAGGCGATGGGTATGGAATATTCTGATTATCTGTTTATATATATTTGTACTTGTATAAGTAACTGTGTGTTGTGTGCATGCACATGTTTATGTACACGTGTGTATATATATATGTATAACATATATGTGTGTGTGTGTTCGTATGTTGTGATATGGGGAACCATATACGCATATGCACTATAGCCGCATGTTATCTATATAGTTGCGTGCTGTATCTGGTTATGGAAATACATGTCTATATACATAAATGTTTACGTGCATGTAAAGTTATGCTTGTACCGAAGCATACACACATATAAACATGTATGTATGTATTTATCTATATATAAAATAGATACGGACCACCTGGTTCCCAGGACGTTAGTTCACTAGGCGGAGGATATGGATACAGCCCAGCCTCGCGCCGCCCACTTCCCCCCTCGTCTTCAGACGAGGTGCCCCCCCTTCCCCGCGCCCGCCTCTGACCGTGGCCCTCCTGAACAGGAGCGCGGCGCCCTCATGATCAACCTCTCCGCCGAGGCGGGCGGCGCGGTTCGTTCGCCGACGGCCGCGTGCCGTTCGGACGACGACGACCACGACGACCACGACGACCACGACGACGACGACCACGGCCACGACCACGATCACGACCACGACAAACGACCACGACCAACGACCACGACCAACACCACCGCCACGACCACGACCACGACCACGTCCACGACCACAGCGACGGCGACGGCGACGGCGACGGCGACGGCGACGACGACTGGAGCCAAAGGCCTGGCACGAGGGCCGCTTCGGTTGCTGGGGGAGGCTGTTTGGCGCAGCCTGGGCCCGAGAGGGTCTCCACGCCTGCTCCGTGGCGCCTCGTGGCCGAAACCTGCGGCTGCCGTGCGCCGACCTGGGGCGGCCCAAGAGTGCTGCATGTGCCGTCCTGGCTGCGCGGTTAGGCCTGGAAGGCGTGTACCTGTCGGTCGTTGAGAGCAGGTTTTTGGGGTTCCCAGATACCAGTCGACTTTAGGCGCTTCCCCATCTCGAGAATCGATCTGCTTTTGCTGTGTTTCGTTCTGCTCTGGGATGGCGGCTAGTGCTGGCTAGGCGGCTCGACCTGGTTGGCCTGAAAGTAGGTGTTCCTGTGTTCCCAGATCCCAGTGAACTCTAGGCTCCTTCCCAGTTCAATAATCGATATGCTTCTGCTGTGCCTTGCCATTCTCCGGGAGGGCCTCCAATCTACTCAATCCGCTTTCCTGTTGCAGCAGTTGACCTACCTCTTCCGACTGGCGTGTACCCCGATCCTTTGGCCCCAGGATTGGCTTGGCAAGAGACGGTGTTGGCGTGCTGTCGCCGTCGTAACCCTGGGCGTCGCCGCTTGACTTGGGACGTGCAGCAGTGCCGCGCCGAGGTGGCGCGGCGGCGACGCCAGTGCCGGCGCATAAGGCTGACGACCTCCTCTTTGCTAGGCCTCCTGGATGGGGTCGGAGCTGATGGGGTCGGAGGAGCGCACCGCATCGCCGATTGTATCGGCGATGCGACTCGGTGCGGAGCCCAACTTTCTCCACGCCGACGTCGCCGATGCGTCGCCGACGTTGGCCGATGCGTCGGCGCAATCCTCCGACCCCATCTAGTCGGACCCCATCTAGGAGGCCTCTATCTGCTGGGTGCAGCCAAGACGCTGGACTCAGGACCGCTCTGGGCTCAGAAGCTCTGGTGCCTGGGCCGTTCCCGACGTCGAGGTCCGGAAGACCATACGTGACGGAGAGGCTCGCCGTGGCTTGACACAAAACATCCCTCGCTCTTTATATTGTGCCTTCCTTTTGGCAGCACGATGGCTGCAGATACAGTCGGAGCTCGACCACAAGGCACCTGCCACAAGAGCCCCAACCCTGAGACCCCAGGACGTCCATTGCTTGTTGGTGTCGGGACGTCGCGCTTCCCATAGCAAACCTATCGAAACCCAAGACACCCAGGGCACCCTGGAGGCAAGCAGGGTGTTTCTTGGCATGGGTTTCTGCTGTGACGTCGCTCGGTTTCTTTCGGTCTACGCGCTGCCAGATACCAACGTCCACGCCCTCAGAAAACAGTCGTGTATCTACAGTCAGGCTCTTCTGGTTTTGCCGCGGTCTCGGAGGCAGAGTCGCGTTGCACCTTCAGGAGGGGGGGAGGCGGAGGGAAGAGGGGGGATGGGTGGGGTGGAGGGACAGGAGGAGGAGGAGGAGGAGGAGGAGGAGGAGGAGGAGGAGGAGGAGGAGGAGGAGGAGGAGGTGCAGCAGGAGAAGGTGCAGGAAGAGGAAGAGCAGGAGGAACCGCCCACACCCCCTTCCCCCTCTCCGGGTCTGATCCCGCGACGCCAGGGCGGGAGGGCTTCGAAGGCTTCGCTTTGCAGGCAGGAACCAGTCCGCAGCCTCGAGCTCCGAGCAGGAGGAGCAGCAGAACGTGAGAATGGAACACCTTTGGAACCCGCCGCCCCTCGTTCGCCGAGCCAGAAGGCCCCCGGGGCCCGCGCTTGTGCTCGGCCTCGCGGCGGACCCGTCGCCCCTCCGGGAAGCTCGGGGCCGAGGGGCGCGCTGGGGAGAACGAGCGAGCGAGGCCCCGCATCCGCAGGGGGCACGCGCGCGCGCGTTGGATGGTGCAGTCGCGCACTGCGGGGGGAAGAGCGAGCTGGGGATAGGCTCAAGGGGGGGCACGCATCGAGGTTCGATGTTCGAGCTTGGGGGGTTCTGGACGCTTTCGCCCAGAAACCCCTAAGCTTCTGGACGAAGACGTCCAGAAACGTCAGGGATTCTCGGCGGCGGTTCTCCGGCCTCGGGGTGCTTTCGGGCAGCTGCGCCTTGTCGAGGTTTTTCTGGGGGCGCCACAGTCGCCCCGAAGGGCCGTCGGGGAGCCAAGTGATGGTCCGAGAACCGCGGGGCACGGCGCAGTCGCGCACAGCTGGCCCTGGCCTATCGTCTCGCACGCGGTCAGTGCGCTGAGGCGAGGGCCTCTGTCGGCAACTGGAGCACGTACACTACCAGTGGCGGGCTGTATTTGGGTCCTCTGACTTCTTTGGAGGATCTGGAACGACGTCGGGGTGGTGTGGTGTATATTTTTGTCCCCCGCTTTCCCAGTGGAAACAACGAAGTATACATACACCATGACCGCGTACGCACCAAGGATCCGCTTTTTGTTGTGCGAATCTCAGTGCGGGGCCAGAAAAGGCGTCGGGGTATAGAGAGTTCGGCTCCTCACTCTGTGGCTTCCGGTGGGGCTCCAGTTCCCGGGCCGTGCATCAGGTCCAGGTCGGGGGACCCGGTTCGATGTGGAGGCTCGCCGCGGCCAAGACGGGGGAGGGTACGAAATCCGCTGCGTGCAGCTGGTTTCGGGCCCACCGAGGGGCCCTTTCCTCGATATACACAGCCGCCTCTGGCGCCGGGAGGCGCCGGGAAAATCAGCTATACGTGAGCTGCTTCTCGCCCCCCCCCCCTATGCTATCCCCCCCTTTCGCCCGGCCCGACAGCAGCTGACAGTAAGAGCCAGGGGCAGTTAGTCGGCGGCGCCACAGATATCGGCCGCCGAAGACATGAACCTAACGAGGCCTATATCGCCCCCCCGGCCTTGCTCTGCGAGACAGTATTTCCCGGAAGCTTCCGAAGACGGTGCCGATCATTTCCAAGGGAGCCCATTGTCATCTTGGAAGATGGGCCCCGCCCCGCTCCCCATTTGGTGCGATGCCGAAGCGATGCCGGAAGACCAGCGTCCCAGTGAGTACAACGCTCGTGAGCCTCAATTGAAAGGCACTTGGAAGCAAGGCCATAATGCAGCTCAAGTTGAAACAGGTCGAGCTTACAGCAAATTGCAACAAGTCGACGAACATCCAAACTCAGGTTAAGTGCGAGTGTGATAGATCCCCTGCCCAAGCTTTCATAGAGGAACCCGTCGAAAAACGAAATTGCAATGCATCCCAACGCAATGTCGCGAAAATGCGGCGCCATGAGGTCTGACGATGACAAGCGGGAAAACGCGCATGCTACGACGCATAGCACTTTTGTGCTAATAGACTGCATTTCAAGCCAATGCAGCGCAACGCAGAGCACACATAATTGCCCATGAACTCGACCCCTTGGCAGGAAGCTCCTGGCCCACCAGCCAGCCGCCAACAGTTTCGCGGCCGCCGCCCATTTTTATGAGAGAGGCAGTGACCCCTTCGGGCAAGCCTGTTCGGGAAAACATGCCAAGGGCTTGTGGCACCATTCGTTTGCACATCCACGCTTGTTTCGCCCCGGCTCATTGAACGCGACGTAGGTATCGATTGGGCCGCTTCTTGAGCGAAGTTTGCGGCATTTTGGCAGATGCGAATCCACCATGTATATTGGCATAGATCGCCTGTTATGAAGTGTCCCCACCTTGTTTAATTATCCGCCTTCACAAACGATTCGAAGCAACGCGATGCGTTCGATGATCTTCCAGGGCACTTTGCCGAGTGTCTGTTTATCCCGTTCGGCCCTCGTCACATCGGCTTCGTTGTCTTGAGGGGCTTCGGTTGAGAAACTCATGTTGGCGCATCACGCGGTCTGGGGATCATCGGCCCAATGTTGGGACCAGCAGTGAGTCATCAACCCAGTCCGTTTTTCTTCAAGGCCTTGAGCACTGCTGCGCCAGCCGCAAACTATACGTCAGGGCAAGTACAGCCAGGGACGGATGATGGCAGAACCGTAAGCAGAGCCAGCGAGCTGTAAACCAGACTGTTGCGCTGGCCGCTCTCGAGATCAGGGCAAGTGCAATCACTGACTGATGCTGGCAGAAGCGAGCAGGGCCAGCGAGCCTCGTGCGACGCATTCCGCTACTCAGCGCGCCTGGTTCTCGAAACACTGCGCCAGAGCAGCTGCGAAGCAGCGCTTGATCGTCTGTATTACGGGCTCGCACAACGAGGTGGCGCAAATCTGGGCACAAACTGCATGGATTTTTCTGGACGTTCCCTCGGGTGACGACCCACCGACCTCGACATGAGCTTTGGTTGTGGTTGTCGTCGGTTCGGTCGTCCTGGGCGCCCACATCAACCTTAGCCAGTCCGAAACTGTTTTCGGTGTTCTGACAACTGCTGGCACGCGCAAGACTTCCCCGAGGGCGTGCCCTCGATGTGGCTGTAGGCGCCTGCTGCCCCCGCCGCGAAAGGGGGCGGCCTTCGACAAAAGCGGTGGGCTTTCTGAGAAGGGTTCAGGGACGTCCAACACGGCTTCACAGAGGCAAGGAGGGTTTCGACGGAGCCCCCCTCTCTCTCAGGGGCCCCCCCGGCCTTCTTAGAGTGCCGCCCGCCCTCGAGCCCTTCCCCTGCGCGCGCCGCCAACATCGGGAACGGATAGTGAGCACCAGTGACAGGCGCGTCGATGTTCAAGCTGCGCCAGCTGCGCCTCCGCTCGTCGTGAGGGGACCAGCGCTGTGAAGGCCTCACCGGCGGGTGCCGCCGACCCTGGCACGTGAGGAGGGCACGAGATGGAAGAGGTGGGCGAGGAGGGGCGGGGGCCTTGCGGGCCTTCCAGTGCCTTGTGGCGGTCCCTTGGAAGCCTCCTGAAGGCCTCTTCTGTCTTCTGGGGGGCCTGTTGGGCACTTTCAGGGGCCTTTGGGGGGCCCTCTTGGGGACGTCTTGGGGCCCCCTGGGAGGCTATAGGGGCCGAAGGTTCCACAGATCCTTTCGAGGCCCTTGTGTGGGCACGCTCTTGGAGCCGTCTTGGGGGCCTTATGGGCTGTTTTGAAGGCCTCTTGGGCTGCCTGGGGGCCCGCTTGGGCCGTTTCAGGGTCCTCTTGGAGACTTCTGGTGCTATCTTGGGGCGATCTTTGTGCGATCTTTGAGTCCTCTTGGGCTGTCTCTGACCGTCGGGAAGCCGAGAAGGCGAGAACCTAACATCTTTCTAACACACACGGCAAAACTATGCTTTTTACCTCTTGGGGCACTCTTCGCAGTGAATTTAGGAGCCTCTTGGAGCGTCTTGGAGGTGTCTTGGACCGCCTGGCTGCCATCTGTGGCGTCTGGGATGCATCATTTGGCGATTCACGGCCTTCTTGGACCGTCTTGGAGGCCTCTATGGGCAGTCTTGGTCCGTTTTCGTTTTTTTGTTTTGCCCCAGGACCTCCCAGATGGGGAAGTGTTCTGACCCGGTACCTCTTGTTCCGGGACTCCCCCCTCCCTTCCGCGGGGAAGGATCCAAGGGAAGGGGCTCCCGTTCGGCTGAACTACGACGTTGCTCAGTTTCGCGCTGGCTGGCGCGCTTGAGGAGTGTGGCCCAAGGAAAGGGGGGGAGTGGCGACGGCGATGGCGACGGCGACGGCGACGTCGACGACGACGACGACGAAAGGAAGAGCGTCTGCTACACGCCGACAGGGTCGGCGGACTTCTTCAGCAGTGTCACGCTCATGGGGTCGTCGGACCGGCGAGACACGAGCGGCGAACATATCCATACCCACGCCCTCGCGGTCAGGATTCTGGAACACGACCCCGTGGATACGCGGTCGAATGGATACGTTCCAAGCGTGGCATGCGCGAGCAAAAACATACCGCAACCACGGGGTCACGGCCCAGGGGCCCAGCCCGCGAGGCCGTGGACACGAATTTGCCTCCCGACCGCGAATATGTTTGGTTGTGTTCTGGATCGTTGTCGTGGACACGACACCCGCCGTGTGTTGCCGCCCCGCTTCCCCCCGTTCTCTCAGGGGCAGCTTCAACAGGGGGCCTCGGTTCAGGTGGAGATGCGTCGAACCCCAATCGCACAGTGATCGCCGAGAGGGCAGCCTGAGAGCCCACGTCGCCCAGCAGCGTGTGGACTCGCTGCTAGCGGGGGCCTCGTCGCCGATGCATCGGCGATGTGTCAACGCTTTCGGTCGCTGTTCCGCCGCCCCCCCCTCGCGAGCAGGTCCGCCCCCACGCCACGTGCCCCTTGCGCAGCGCTGCTCCCCTGCACCCTCCCTAGGCTGCGGCGCTCTGACGAGGCTTCCGAGGCGAGTCCGGCCGTGGCGACAAGGGTTCCCGCGGGTGGCCCCAGAAATGCAGAGACGAGTGCCCGACGAGACGATCTCTCTCCGTCCGATCCGATCCGTGCACAGGCGTCTGCCCTCCAAGGGACCGCCCCTGGTCACCAGAGCCGACATGCAGATGTCCTCCTCCTCCTCTTCCTCCTCCTCCTCCTCCTCCTCCTCCTCCTCCTCTCCTGGACTGTCCTGTGCCCTTGAGCCGGTCCACCCCTATAGTTGCCCCTCGCTCATGCCCCGTGTCGTCGGCCTCCTCCCGGGCCGCAGGCGGGTCGCTTCTCGGCCGTGACCGACCAGCTGCAGCACGTCCGCGCCGAGACGCGCGTGGTGGAGCAGCGGTTCTCCGCGGCCCCCGGGGGAGGAGGAGGAGGAGGAGGAGGAGGTGGAGGAGGAGGACCAGTGGAATCCCCAGAGTCATCTACGATGTCGGAATTAACCCGCCCTCCATGCTCCCTCTTCATAGGCACCTTTCAAGGTTCATTTCCATTGAGGGAGCTGCCTCGTTGGAAAACAACAATTTGAAGCTCCTGAAGCGTGCCAAAACATTGTTCTCGGCATTTCAGCGCCACGTATCAACCTGTCTGCTGCGTCTTGACGATCCAGAATCGTACCAGAACGCCATTTTTGGGACTTCGCCACAGCGAATCAACATAATTGTTGCGCCCGCATAATCTTGAACCCTTCCAAGAAATCACTTCTGGTACGTTGATCATGGGAGTCCGTGAAACCCATGTAAATTTTAAAACGAGTGTGCACGGCGCTAAGGCGACGCAAGAGCCACATTTTGAAAAGGAACCGCCCTCAATCCGTGAAGCTGTTGCAATGTGTTTTGACTATTGTGCGCGGCGCTAAGGCGAGAGCCACATTTTGAAAACGACTGCCCTCAATCCGTGAAGCTCTTGCAAATTTGTAGAACGAATGTGCGCGGTGAATTGGCGAGAACCACAATTTGAAAACCACCCGCCCTCAATCCGTGAAACTCTCGCAATGTGTTTAACGAATGTGCGCAGCGCTAATGCGAGAGCCACATGTTGACAACGGCCCGCCCTCAATCCGTGAATTTCTTGCAAATCTTTGAAACGAATGTGCGCGGCGCTAAGGCGAGAGCCACAGGTTGGAAACCACCCGCCCTCCATCCGTGAAACACTTGCATTTGTTTGAAACGAATGTGCGCGGCGCTAAGGCGAGAGCCACATTTTGAAAGCGATCTGCCCTCCATCTGTGGAACTGCTGTCACTTCTTAAGATTCAGAATCGGAAATGGTGAGGAAGTCTCAGGCGAAACGCCCGGCCCGCCCCGAGAACTGGCCTCGGGGTGCGACAAGGATGCGTCATTTACAAACAGAAGGAATGGGGGAGGAGGAGGAGGAGGAGGAGGAGGAGGAGGAGGAGGAGGAAAGGGAGGAAAAGGAGAAGGAGGAGGAGGAGGAGGAGGAGGAGGAAGAAGAGCAGGAGGAGGAGGGGAAGGACGACGAAGAGAGCAGCGCCCTCTGCACCCATACTCAGAGGAGGGCATGGCACCGACGCCGCCCCCCCTCGGTTTCTCCCGTCTGGGGGCCTCCTGGGGAGTTGTTTCGTCGCCACGGCCGGAGTCGCCTCGGCATGCTGGTCAGGACGCACCTCTGGAGGGATCCAATGCCCAGGGAGTAGCCGTACCGTTTTCGGGGGGGGGGTCCCCAGTTCTGTCTCGCGGGAGGCACCCACATACAGGGTGGTCTAGGCCAGGCAGGGGGTGTATGGATGCCTTACGACTCGCGGTGAAGGAAGGGGGGGTCATGAAATGAGGGGTCTTGGATTTTCTTGTCGTGTTCAGGTCACATGGCCCCTCTCGGGCCCTGGGGCGGTCCGAGCGCGCTTGGGAATACGACGCCTGTCCAGGGGAAGAGTCCAAGGGTCCTGGGCGCTTTTCCATCAGGCCCTCAAGTGTCAAATATCCATAGATGCTGCGTCTCTAAGACTCCGCCTTCGCCTCGCAAGGCCCACGACGAGTGCAGCGTTCCTTCGTCGCTGGTGCACAAAAGCCCCACGCTGTGTCCAAAGATGGGAGCGCGAGGGGGAGGAGGAGAGGGGAGACGAAGCGCGGCTATACGTGGAGCGAGCGGTGTGGGCAGGAAGGTGGCGTGTGACGGAGGACCTGGGGCGGGACGGAGGAGGCAAAGCGGGTTGCGGGAGCGAGTGCGGATTCGGGTCGCACACGGGCGCGGATGGGGCCCTCCTCCTCAGCCTCCTCCCCCCCTTCCCCCCTTCCTCCTCCCCCGCCTCCTCCTCCTCCTCCTCCCTCCTGATCCTTCCAGCTCCTTCCCCCGCGCCCCCCCCCTCCCCTTTCTCCGTCTGCCCCCTCCCTTCCCCCCTCCCCTTTCTCCGCAGCCGCCGAGTGCCGTCGGAGGCCGCCAAACATCTTCGACAACTTTCTTGAACACCTTCGAAACTCGACGAGGACGACGACGACGACGTCGACGACGAGAACGAGGACGAGGACGAGGAAGAGGACGGCGGTGGCGGCTGTCCCCGTGCGAGGCCATGGCCCGCACGGCGGAGGCGCAGCGCAGGGCCCGCGAGGCGAGCCTGCAGGGCGAGATGCGCGCCACGAAGGCGCTGCCGCCGTCGTCGACGTAGACATCGCCCACGTCGGAGGGGGAGGGGGGGAGGGGGAGGCGAGGGAGGAGGTCCCTGTTCCTCTCTCTTCCCCCATGGAGTGACGAGGCGCGCCTCTGGTCACCGACAGGTCACCGGGAGAGGAGGGTGGAGGCGGGGGAGGAGCAGGAGGAGGACGATCGAGAGTTTCAAACTTGCTGCTGCTGCCAGGGCGTTTTGCCTTTACACCGCGAGACTCCGTCGGCGGGTCAAGTCCTCCCGACGCCCCCCAGAAGCGTACAGGCTTCACGGTCAGGTGAGAGCGGCCCTGAGGAGATAGATCGACTTGCTCACAGGCTTCAGCAGCTGATCATCCAGAACCCACGAGCCACGTGCCTGGATAACCAGAGCAAAGTCAGAATGCAACGGTGCTGTCATACTGCTGTAAGACATTGTAGTACACACTCCCGTCCCAAAGTGCCCTCCTCAGAAGTCCCGGCGGGTCTCCCACTCCACTGCTGGACGCGCCCGTCTTGAAGGACGAGCGCCCGCAGGCGGAGCCCAGTTCTGCAGAGGGTGCTCCTTCCGTCACTCCAGCGCAAGAAGCGCCGCGGAGGGGCAAGATGAGGAAATTCAAGGACGTGTCCAGCGATGGCCACCCCATCCATGTAAGTGCCCCGCAGTTTCAATCAACGGAGGCATTGAATCTCAAGGCGTCTCAAGCGAGAGCAATGTTTGATGGAGATTCACAGCCCCAAGTCTTGAGGTCGCTGGCAAATGTTACAACGAATGTGCGCGGCGCTCAGGCGAGAGCCGAATGTATAGAAACATGGAGACCACCAGCCCTCCACGTTTCTGCAACTGTTGGGCACATCGAGAACAAGTGTACGTGGATTGAACGCGAGAGCAGCATTGTGGAAGCCACCGGCTCTTCATCCGTGTGATGGATGTAAGCTGTTCAAAACGCACGCGCGCTGCTCGAAGGCGCGATAATTGCACTTTGGAACCACTGACGAACAATCCTTGTAGTTGTTGGGTGCTTTACGGCTCAGGGCCGTGTTTCAGAACGAAGTCTCAATCGAAAGGGGTCGTTGATGCATGTAGGAAGGGGAGGGGGATGGGAAGGAGATATTGGAGGATAAGGAGGGGGAGGAGGAGGAGGAGGAGGAGGAGGAGGAGGAGGAGGGACGATGAGGAAAAGGAGGGAGAGAGGAGGGGAAGCCTGAGTAGAAGCAGAAGGATTTACATAAACATCGAGCGGGGCAGGGAAACAGGGTGGAGGAGGAGGAGGAGGAGGGGAAGAGGATGACGACAAGCAGGAGGAGGAGGGGAGAAGGGAAGCGGGGAGGAGGAGGAGGAGGAGGAGGAGGAGGAGGAGGAGGAGGATGAGGAGGATAAAGTGGGAGGAGGAAGAGGAGGAGGAGGAGGACGAGGAGGAGGAGGAGGAGACGGAGGAGGAGAAGGAGGAGGAGAAGGAGGAGGAGGGAGGCGTAGGAGGATAAGGAGAAGCGGGTGTTGGGGCCATGGACAAAGGACCGAGGGAGAAGGAGGAGTTGGAAAGGAGCAGTCGGAGGAGGAGGAGGATGAGGAAGAGGAGGATGAGGAGGAGGAAGAGGAGGAGGAGGGTGGCGGAGGTGGATTAATTTCTCTCCGATTCAAAGGGGTTCTTTGGAGTCTTAAGGAGGGGTGTGTCGGGGGGGAGCCCGCCGAGTTTCGCCGATCTTCGTGGTTCCCCTTGCTGTTCCCGGACGTTTCGGGAGGTTGCTGGTTGCCTCCTGAGAATGAGGGGGAGCAGGAGCAGAGTAGAAGGAGGAGGAGGAGGAGGAGGAGGAGGAGGGGTACGAGAAGCGAGGACGGGAGCACACGGAAGTAGGAGGCGGGAGTGGGAATGCAGGTAAGGAGGATAGGGTTGGCCTTGGGCGGTTGAGGTTCTGCGATTGGGTTCTGGAGTTCTGGAGGAGGAAGAGAAGGAGGAGGAGGAGCAAGAGGAGGAGGAGGAGGAGGAGGAGGAGGAGGAGGAGGAGGAGCAGCAGCATGAGGAGGAGGAGGAGGAGGGGGGAGGCCGAAGAGGAGCAAGAGGGAGGACGCGGAAGAGGGATGTGGGCGGAGGCGAAGGCAATGTGTTCTTTCGTCACCAGCGTCCGAATGCCCCATATGAGGCCCAGTTGTGTGAGCTTTTTCATGTCGAGCCTCCAGATGACAGTGTCCTGACAGATTGGCGTGAGTATGTGAGGCCTCGGAGGGAGCAGTGTGTTCTCGTCTCCCCAGACGGCATCTACACCATGCGTTGGTATCTTGTGGGGTCTGGATACTCTCTCGCTGCTCCATTCCTCCGATTGGAATTTTCAACATGGTCAACCCACGAACCCATGAAGGGATATACGTATGTGAATGTGTATATGTGTATACGTATACCTATCTAGGTGTGTGCAGTATAATTGGCCTAACTTGGGCAAGAGGCAGTGGCATTGCTGAGGATATCCACCGTGGTGGTGCCGTGTCAGTCGTTGTGCAGTGCTGCGCTGCGCGGTGCCGTGCTGACCTGTGTTGGAACCGCCGAGACTGTATTTATGAGGGCATCTCTGGGGCGTATCGCGCCCAGCGCCACCCGAGGGCCACGATAATCGTCTAACGAATTCTCAAGAGGTTTCTGCGGCTTGCCCCAGGCCACCCCTCCGCCTCCTCTTGCTCGCGCCCTCCGTAGCCGCTGTCTTCGTCGTCACCTCCGCGCTCCTCGCCATCGCCGCCCTCTTGCCCTCGTCTCCGCCCGTCGACCTCTCCTCCCCTGTTTAAGCTCAGGAGGGGAAAAACACACAGACACAATGAATCGTCGATTCCCCCAGGAAAATCGGGGAAACTATGTGAAGGGGGGGGGGAAGGCAAAAAAACCCAGAAGAAAGATGGGGAAAGGTGGGGGATCCTGGGATTTGTGCCTGTGTGTCCCAGGGCCCCTTCATCTTCAGCCCTCGCCGCCGCCGCCCTCGCCGCCCTCGCCTGCAGCGCCCCCCCCCCCCCGAGGTGAAGGGGATGATCGCGGACGTGTGGCAGAGCGCGCGCGCGGCCGCGGTCGAGGCACCCCCTTCGCGCGCCCGGCCCGGTGCTATCCACGCAGCCGCGCGCGCGCGCAAGGCCAGTCCTCTGCAGGGGGAAGAGCGCGCGCGCGTGCACGAGCGCGCTCGCGCGGGCACGGCCGGGGAAGGAAAAGGAGGAGTGAGAGGAGGAAGACGAGGATGAGTGCCGAGGAGGAGGAGGAGGAGGAGGAGGAGGAGGAGGAGGAGGAGGAGGAGGAGGAGGAGAGGGAGGGTGCTGGGAGGAGGCACAGGAGGGTGCTGGGAGTGTCGAAGCAGGAGGGAAAAGCAGGAGGGAGGAGGAGGAGGAGGAGGAGGAGGAGGAGGAGGAGGAGGATCGAGGTTCGACGGTCTTGGTCTTGGGCCGTTCTGGCCTTCGGCCGGAGGCCTTTGGAGGCCGCACTTCGGGACTCAAGAGACTGGGGTCAATGCAAACGGGGGTCAGCCAGGGCACTGGATCCTGCAGGATCCTGCGAAGACCCTCTCTGGCTGACCCGGGCTAGCGAGCCGCTCGTGGCCGCGAGGCGGCCGCGCATATTGGCTGACCCGGGTTTGCGAAGTCCTGCGTTGCAGTTTTTTTTCCGGCATTGCAGTTGTTTGGTTTCCTGCTGGCCTGGGTCTGATTGACCCGGGTTAGCAGATCCCCGAGCATTGCCAGCTCTGTTCGCTGATTGCGCGCCAGCGGTGCGCCGCGCGCGCGCGCCAGCAGTGCGCGGTGCGATGGGGCAGAGACGAAGAGGCTCCAGGCCTCCCAAATGGGGTCCGAGTAGATATCGGCGTCATCCCAACATCCTGATACGATGTGTGCGTCGCCCCCCCCCCCCCCCCCCCCCGCCCCAGGGGCGACGAACGCTCTGAGAAAGCTCCGCGCCAGTTGCGCCAGGTGAACGCCACGTGTGCGCCAGGTGCGCGCCAGGTGCGCCAGGTGCGCCAGGTGCGCCACGTGCGTCAGGTGCGCCAGGTGCGCGCCAGGTGCGCCAGGTGCGCCAGGTGCGTCAGGTGCGCCCAGCGCGCCAGGTGCGCGCCAGGTGCGCCAGGTGCGCGCCAGCCCCCCCAGGGGACAGGGAGGCCTCAAAGTGGTCTGCGTAGGACGTACCTCCGCTGGGCCTCCCGGGAACCCACGAAAGTGGCGACAGTTGCGCAGAGCGCAGCCCCCCCAGGTGTCAGAGAGGCCTCACAGTGGTCTGCGTAGGACGTACCTCCGCTGGGCCTCCCGGGAACCCACGAAAGTGGCGACAGTTGCGCAGAGCGCAGCCCCCCCAGGTGTCAGGGAGGCCTCACAGTGGTCTGCGTAGGACGTACCTCCACTGCGCCTCCCAGGAACCCACGAAAGTGGCGACACTTGCGCAGATCGCAGCCCCCCCAGGGGACAGGGAGGCCTCAAAGTGGTCTGCGTAGGACGTACCTCCGCTGGGCCTCCCAGGAACCCACGAAAGTGGCGACAGTTGCGCAGATCGCAGCCCCGCAGGGCACCGTGATCACAGGAGAGAAGAAGGAGGAGAGGGCGGGAGGTGGATACCACAGCGCTCTATTCAAAACGAGTACCCAACACAAGGAGGGTTGGGAAAAGTCCAAAACAGTCCTCCGCGATCCTCCTCGATCCTCGAACCCCCTCGATCCTCTTCGATCCCCGAACCTCGATGCTCGATCCCCGATCCTCGATCTGCATCGATACCCGAGCCCCGATCCCGGATCTTCCCCGATCTCCGACCCCCGAACCTTCGCTTTTCGATCCTTTCCGATCCTCGGCCCCCCTGCCCGCCGCTCTCCCCTCCGGCCAGTTGTTGTTGAAATCTGGTTTGGGAGGGAACGGTCAACACGGGTAGTAAGGATGAGCGAGCAGTTTCCCAAGGTTGCCTATGCACCCCTGGCCCTGTCTGCCCATCCGTGGCGAGTTTCGTTGGCAGCGCCCCGCTCGAAAGGTGTCGACTCGGCCTTCCAAGGCCCCAGCATCCTCATCGTGCCTTCTTACATCACTTGTTGACTTTAAGACTCGCGTGTGGTTGCCTGTCCTCCTCCTGCCCGCCGCCCACCCTCCGCAGGCCGCCAAGCAAGAAGCCCAGCCCTGGCCCAGGGAACGTTCGGGGACTTTCAGGCCTGGGCCTGCTGTGATGGGTCTCTTGCGGGCCAGCCTTGGCTGCAGCACATCCCACACGCACACTCCAACACACACAGTCCGAACACAGTCCTCCTCGATCCTCCCCGATCCTGCCCGATCCTCCAGGCGCAGTCCTCCTCGATCCCCCTCCACGAGGGGCCTCGATCTTCTCGGTCCCCCGCGGCCCTCCCAGACGTTTGTGACGTTTTGATGTTTTCCATGCGCCGGCCCCCGGATGTCCCGACCCTTTCCCCCGGGACGGGTTTTCATCCCGAGCCGTTTTTTGACGGTCCCTCGGCGGCGAGCAAGGGGGGGAAGTTGGAAGGAGAAGGCCTTCGCAGAAGGTTCGGAAGTCCCTCGGCCTTCTGAGAAGTTTTCTCAGATTTCCCCGAAGACACAGAAAACTTCTCAGAAGGCGCGAGGGCTCCTGATAAGTCCCGCCGCCTTCTGAGAAGGCCTTCCACTTCTCATTTCCCCCCCTCGCTCGCCGCCGCCGAGTCCCCGGGCCCGGCGAGGGCCCCTGGAGGCCAAGAACGGCCAGAAAAGCTTCCGTCTTAAGTCTTCCACGACGCGAGCAGTTCTGGGCGCCTCGGTCTCCGACCCTCCCCCCCCCCAGCCCTCCAGACGCGGCCCTCCTCGATCGTGTCCCCCCCCCCCAGCCCCCGAGCTCCGCCCGCAAACTTCGGCTGCGCAGAAAGAGGGGGCGACCTCGGGATCCACCCCAAAGGGGCTCTTCGGACGCACCCCTATCGAGCGTGGACGCACCCACCATGTTGTTCCATCCCATGGTTGGGCCTCAAGTGTCGGTTCCACTCGAACACCCCGCGAATCCTGGGATAGGGATGGACATATCCCTTGTTAGACCGCTCCTCCCCATATTCCTTCTAGGCCTCCCAGATGGGGTCGGAGTAGATGGGGTCGGAGGATCGCGCCGCCTCGCATATTCATCGGCGATGCACCGGCGAGGCGGCTCGATGTGGGGCCCAGTTTTCTCCTCGCCGACGCCGCCGATGCACCGCCGACGTCGCCAGTGAGTCACCGATGTATCGGCGATGCATTGCCGATGTAGCGGCGATGTGGCGAGATGATCCGACCCCACCTGCTCGGACCCCACCTAGCAGGCCTCTGTTGCGGAGAAGGAGGAAATGGGCAAGGACGACAGACGACAGCAGCAGGCAGGATACCCGAACGAGAGCCATGGCGGAACACAGCAGCAGCAGGGAGGGGGAGAGCGGGGAGAGAGGGAAAGAGGGAATGAGGGAGGGAGAGGGAAGGGGGAAGAGAAGGGAGGGAGGGAGAGGGAATGGGGGAAGGAGGGAGGGAGGGAGGGAGAGGGAAGGAGGGAGGGAGAGAGGAAAAGGGGAGGAGGGAGGGAGAGGGAAGGAGGGAGGGGGGAAGAGGAAAAGGAGGAGAGCACACGAACAACAACACGGCCCCCTGCTCCCCCGCCCGCCGCCGCTCCCCCCGCCTCCCCCCTGGGGAGGATCCTCGAGGAGGATCGAGGATCGAGGAGGATCGAGTCTCGAGGCTCGAGGATCGAGGATCGAGGAGGATCGAGGAGGATCGAGGACCGAGGAGGGTCCAGGAGGCCCGCCGCTCCCCCCCCCCTCCGCAGGCCGGTGCCGGCGGGGCGGCGTTTGCGCCGCCCCCGCGGCTCCCGCGCTGACCCCATCGTGCTCGGGCCGCCGGGCGCTGCGCTCGGGGGCCGCCGCGCCGCGGGGGGCCTCGCCAGCGAGCTCCGCGCCGTGGACGAAAAGGCCGAGGCCCACCGATCTCAGGTCGGGCCTGTCCCCCTTGCAGGGGGATTTTGGACGAAAAAGTAAAATAAGTCGAGACAATACATAAATTGTCAAGAATGATAAAAAAAACGTCCCCAGACTATTGTTCGACTATTCTTGAATGTTCCCCTTGTAGAGGGACAAGCCCGACATACAGTTAACCAGTATAGAACCGATCCCTGTGCTTGAGATCGACGAGCCCAGAACAAGAGACCCTCTTAGGGGGGGCCCGCTGAGATTGGCATCGCGATCGGGTGATGCCACTCATAGGCACGGGCACGAGCCTCAGGCTGGCACGGGGCCTCAGGCTGGTGCGGGGCCTCGGCGGGGCCCCTCGCGGCGTGGCCCCTCGCGGAGGGCCCCTCGCCGCCGGCCCTCTCGGTCATCCCCTCGCGGAGGGCCGCGCCGTGCCCCGCCCGCGCGGGCACGCTCGGGGGCCCGGCGCCCTGGAGCGCGAACGGGTTGCGGCCGATGTGGTGAAATATGGGCGGCCCAGAGGTCAAGCAGTGACGAAGCGTCCTGGCGTGCCTACAGGCCTACCCGACAATGTTCTACGAACCTTTCGTGGTTTCCACGAAGTGTTCTTAGAGCATCTTCTGGCTGGGAATGCCATTTTTTAACACATCGGGCTTATGTTCTAAGAACATTGTTGTTTGTTCTTAGAACATGTGTGGGTTCTAAGAACATGTCGTGGTAGGAATGCCGGGACGGTCGGTCCCTGCTCAAAGAGGTTGACACCAACACCACTATCGGCGGTGTGCTTCCACCGAGGGAAGATGATCCCGATCTCGGCAATGGTGGTAGTACTCGGGCTTCCCACGTGCCGAGATAGTACCCAACATCTAGCATCATCCTCCCCTGAAGGAGGCCCCCCCGGCTCCTCCCCTGGGTTAATGTCGGTGACCATTTCCAAGCCTCCAAGCAGAAAGACCGCCTTGAGCTCAGGATGGGCTCTTGCAGTTTCGGGTCGCCATGTAGACTTGAAGTGGTGGCCCTCTTCGTTGCCAAGTCTAGCCGAGACCTGAAAGAAACCTTCAGTCTCGTTGCTCAAGAGGCTCACGCCTGTTCGCGGACTCCCCAGACGAGGTGAGGAGCCCATGGAAGCTGCCAGTGCGAGGTGTGGGCTAGAATGCCGTACATGACAACATGGGTTCCTGCCATGCTGGGTTGACATGTGTTTGGGAGGGGGACAGCCAATCATCCCACGCGCTTCCGCACTCCCAGCAAGCGGAAGTCGGCAGACTCAGGCAATGCCAATTGCTTGGCAGCAGAACAGACGCGTCCAGGGTTTCGTCAGCGCTTGCTGTTGCGCGTTGCCATCGCAAATGCACCATGAAACGAGCCTGCACTTTTCGGTGGCAACGGATCACGTGGGGCAACGAGTCCGAGATGTTCTGTTGCCGTTGTGTGTCATCAGATCGTGCCAACGTTCGGCCTACCATGGGAGCCGTGCTTCGATCCAGTCAAGATATGACCACCACTATTGGAGAGGAGGGGATCGATACAGGTGCCTCGTTTTTCGATGGACAGCCGTCCTCTGCAGAGGGGTGGGCAGGAGGATAAAGATGTGGAACAGGAGAAATAGGGTGAGAGGAGGAGGATGAGATGGAGAGTTAAGGGAATAGCACAATGATGGCACGTAAGGAAGGGCACGTGGATGATCAGCCGGCAGGATAAAACAAAGACGGAAGATAGGTGGTGGAGGCAGACGACCTACTAGATGAGGGCAGGGAGGAGGTGGAGCGAAGAGGAGGGGGAGGAGGAGGAGGAGGAGAAAATTGATGAGGAGGAGGATGAGGAAGAGGAGGATAATGAGGAGGAGGAGGGTGAGGAGGAGGGGCACGACGAGTCGAGGAAACTGACGGGGGCTGCAGAGGAGGGCGAGAATGTTGAGACGGAGGATTGTGAGGGGAAGCAGGATGTGGGAAGGACGAGGAGGAGGAAAAGGCGGACGGGGAAGAGGAGGAGTAGGGAATTGGTAGAGATGTTGATTTGTCTAATAACACGTTCTCCGTGGTGCGTGTTCTATTATCGTCACACGCGTCCTTTGCTCAGAGCTACTCACAATCATTGAGAGGCCCTCTCACTAGGTTTGTGGGGTCCTCTTTGAACCGTTTGTTGTTGGTTGTGTACGTGTTGAAGGTATCTCGGGGACAGCTTGCAGTCCTTCGCGGGCTTCCCTTGCGTTTCTTGGGAGCCTCCTGGGGGTCTATTCGTGGTCTCGGGGGCCATCTTGGTGCCGATGGCTCGAGGTGTCGGTTCGCGTCCCCATTTTGGGGCACCCTTGGGCTGTATTGGGGCCTTCTTGTATCGTCATGGGGGCCCTCTTGGGCTGCTGCTGGAGACTCTCTTTGGGGACTCTTGGCGCCTCTGGGGGGCATCTTGGGAGCCTGCTGGCAGTTTCGGGGGCCATCCTGGGGCGAATGGCTCGACATGTCGTTTCGTGCTCCCCCTCTCGGGGCTCTCTTGGGGCACGCTTGCGGCCGCCTGGGCCAGTATTGGGGGCCTTTGGGCCGTCAGTGGGCTCTCTTGGGCTGTCTGTGGGGCTCTTTCAGGGGCCTCGTGGGCCGTCGCAGGGCGATCTTGGGGCGCTCTTTGGCCGTCTTGGAGCGGCGGAAACCCGAACGTTCCAGAACGCTAGAATCTGCCAACGCCCGATCGGACATTTCTGTTAGCCAGCTTGGGCCCCAAGCGATGTTTGTTCGCAATCTGTGCGGTGCAATCTCGGTGGTGCAATTCACAAATGTTCGCGGTGAGTTGTCAATTCCATTGCTCGCGCAACCATCTCACCCACCCACCCGCAACTTGGTTTGCACACCCCATATGACGGCAATGGCGACGCGTGCTCGGCGTTGGTTGGTGCACCTCTGCGGCCGCGCTAGCCCGCGCATGCTCGCGCGCGCAGCGGCCAGCTAGTGCGGCGCGATCGATGCGGGCATTGTGGCGCCGACCGTTGGGCACTTCCCAACGGACACTTCAGTGCGAGTCGGTGACGTGGGCGGGTGCGGCGCCAGGGCGACGCCGACAACGGTAGACACGATGCTGAGAGTATTGATAGTGGCGGCCGACGGCAAGGCCAATGACGGCGCCGATGTTGACCTCGCCCGCCGATAATGATGACGATGCCCTTTCGTCGGTGATGCAGGTCTTGGAAGGAGTTCGACATGCGCGCGCGGCCTGCCCGCGCCAATGGCCCGCATGGTCTTATTTGACACGGATCGCCCCCACCCACCCAGGTCACGCGCGCGAGGGCGTCTTGTTGAATTCGCTATGCGGCGCGAAAAGGTTGTTTTGGGCAGAATATGATGACAACGTTGAATGCATATGGTTTTCTTGTGAGCCCGTAAGAGTGCGTGCTCAGGTTTTTATAGGGCACCTGATGTTGCGAAGGCATGTGTTGTTATAGTGCATGGTCGGGAGACTAGTTTTTCTGCAATCCTTGCGAAACCTATATAGGTGCCTGCATGCGCGCGCGACGACGCGCGCGTGTGCACTTTGTTCAGTTTTTTTGTTCAAAGGAGCCTAGCACGCGCTCTCGCGCGTTCGAATGATTTTGACATGCGCGTTCGTGAGAGGCTTTGATAGCTTATCGTGATCATGCTGAAACTTATGCTTTTCTTACTCATCCGCAAGAGCGCCAGGGCAGGCTTGTTTTCAAAGTTCTGGTTGCGAAACTTCGTTTGATTAACATGGTTTCGCGGCATTCGATTTTGACATTCTTACGAAAGCAAGGTTTTTATCCGATTTCTGCACGCGCGCACGACGACGCGCGCGCGTGTGCACTTCGTCTCATGTTTGCAATGGGTGCTTGAAATCTGCGGATATGTGGTAAACGAGTGCGCGCGCATAGTGTTTGTTGGAAGGATGAGGGGGGGGGAAAGGACGTGGGGGGACGGATACCGGATTGCTTGGGATGGTCCGAGTTCATCTTTTGGACGGGCGAAGGTTCATAATCGTATGCAGATTGCAATGCGAAGCAGGGTCCGTTAATTCTAGGGGGTGGACGATCCGAACGTTTCTTTTTGGAAGGAGAAACAATGTGGTGCTATCTGGGTTGTGTCATCCGTGCTGTGCCGCATGTGCGGTGCAACGCAATAGACATCAAGGCCAAGCACTACAAAGCAACGCACAGCCATGCAACACCATGCAACGCCACGCCATGCATTGCGAAGCATTGTAATGCAATGCAGACCAGCACCATGTGATAGAAAGCAAAGCAAATCAACGAGAAGCATTCCGAACCAATGCAACGCAATGCAACGCGATTGCAACGCAAATGAAATGCGATTGCAACTCAATGCGATTGCAAGGCATTGTAGCGCGAGTGCAACGCAATGCGATCGCAACGCTATGCGATTGCAGTGCAACGGGGGGTCGGATACGGGGCCGCTGGGGCGGCAAACGGTTTCTTATTGGAGAAACTCGATGCGGCGACTGACGGGAACGGGGCCGCCGGGCCAGCAATCGCGCCCAGCTCCTTAGAAGGCAGGCGAGAATCCTCAATCCTCAAGTGCAAGCTCTGTTAGGGGAATGATTTGAACCCCTTGGGGGCCTCTTGGGGCGCTCTTGGTCCGTCTTGGAAGTCTCTTGATCTGCTGGAGGCCGTCTTGAGCGTCTTGGAGCGCTCTTGGGCCGTCTCCGAGCTTCCTTCGGCCGCCATGGAGGCCTTTTGGGGTGGTCTTGGCTCGTATGGGGGTACTCTTGTTTCTGCGGAGGCTCAGAAGGAGCGGCAGTGAGTCCGTCGACCCTACATTTGCTCCCTTAAACGCCGCGTCTTTGAACCCAGGGAGAGGGGACATGGGGAGGGGCTACAGCCAATCACATCATACGCCTTTTCGCTCCCTTGTAAGCGGGGATCGGCGAATTCGACGTCCCTTGTGCTACCACGGTGACTGTATGACTGGACCTCGCTCTGGCCCCAGCCCCTGCCTCCCAGCGCAAACCCCTCCCTTCTCAGAGCTGCCAGGTGCGTTGAGCAGGGCCATGATCCGCATGTGGCAGGGGGCGTCATCGTGTGCGGAATGCGGGGAGCAGTGGGTTGAGGAGGAGGAGGAGGGCGAGCAGGATGAGGAGGAGGGTGTGGGGGGGGGGGGGAGGAGGAGGAGGAGAGGAGGAGGAGGAGGAGGAGAGGAGGAGGAGGAGGAGGAGGAGGAGGAGGAGGAGAGGAGAGGAAGGAGGAGGAGGAGGAGAGGAGGAGGAGGAGGAGGAGGAGGAGGAGGAGGAGGAGGAGGAGGAGGAGGAGGAGGAGGAGGAGGAGGAGGAGGAGGGAGGAGGAGGAGGAGGAGGAGGAGGAGGAGGAGGAGGGAGGAGGAGGAGGAGGGGGAGGGGGAGGAGGAGGAGGGGGAGGAGGAATATAATAAGAGAAGAAGAAGAAGAGGTCACGAGGAGAGGAGGAGGGGGGCAAAGTGGTGAGGAGGAGAGCCAGGAGGATGGTGGTGAGAAACCTGAGGCGGACAGGTTAGACTGGTGAGGAGAAAGGGAAGAGGCGTAGGATTGAAACTTGAAGGAGGGGAGGGGAAATGCTGAGTTGCACAGGCCAGTCTGAGAAAGAGTTAGTGGCGGAAGAGTTGGAGGATAAATGCGCTCAGGACGGTACAGAGTGCGGGAGAAGATCAGCAGAGCCTCGACTCTTCTGAGCATGCAAGGGGTCAGAAAGGGGGGAGGGGGAGGGACCATAATGGAAAGGAATGCGCCAGCACCGAACATGCTCGATCGTCGGGCCTGTCCTGCGCCGCTGATGCCCGCACGAGCTGGTGACGCCAGCAGGGTCCTGGAGGCATCCTTTGCTACGTAGTCCGCGAGTGGGTTCTCCTCTGATGGCAGTGTGCATGCACGCCGCGCCGCGCCCGTGCCCGTCACCTCGCACCGCTCCTGGCTCGAGTGCCCCAGTGCGTTCGCTGATCGAACCCCCCTCGAGTGAACCGCCAACCAAAAGTCACGACCGCTTACGTAGCTATTACCATTCCGTTCCCCCGGGCGCTCAGAAATCGTCCTGTCGACGCGGCCAGGGGGGGCAGGGCAGAGGGGGTGGGTCTTCTCAGGAGGCTCAGGAGCCCTCCGGCCTTCCGAGGAACTCCCCGAGCCGTTTCCGAAGCCACAGTGACGGACGGCGTCGGAGAGGGCCGACGGCGCCAAAGAAGCGACGCCGCCTGCTGCGAAGGCCTGCCCCTCTGACCTCCTCCCTCGGCGCGCCGCCGATCGTTGGGGGAGCGGGCAGCCTCACTGCGCACCACCGCCGAGCCTCGACGCCGCGCCGAGGAGCTGGACCCCGATGCTGGCAGAGGGGGCCTCCTGGCCATTCCCTGGGTGCCACGCCCGCCAAGTATCAGGAGGGAGAAAAAACACACAGACACAATTCATCGTCGATTCCCCCGAAGATATGGGGAACTATGGGAAGTGGGGGGGAGACAAAAACACATTCAATATGTGACAAAAATGGGGAAACCTGTTGTGTGTGTATTTATCTGTGTGTCCCTGGGCCCCGTCAAAGTAACCACCAGGAGTGGGGTCCGGCACGGCCTCGTGCAGGCTCTGTGGTGGCAGCTGCGGCCAAGAGAGCTTTCGCTCCGCGTGCCGTGCCGCTGGCTCTGACCCAACGCGCATCGTCGCGACACGGTGCACATTGTTCATTTCTAAGTATTCGGAAATGCCTGGATTTTTGGGGGACCAAGATCCTCTCATTTCTAATTGGTCCATCCTGGGCCTTTTCCTGGCCACTGGGGGGCCAGGAACAATTAGAAACGAGCACAATTAGAACTGAGCACGGTTAGACATGAACGACGTGTCAACGTCCCGAGCTTCTCCCGGCCTTGGGCCACGAGGAGCGGAGCGGCACGCTGTCAGCTCGCACGGCGCCCCTCGTGTCGCCAGGGCCGCCGCCGCGGCACGCCGAGCGCAAGCGCCTCACCGTATGCTCATGCCTCGGGCGTCGTGGTGCCTGTTCACGCCCTGGGCCCCGCCAGGGCTCTCGACCCCGTCCTCGGTCGGCACCGGTCTTCGTTTTTTCGTCGAGGTGGCTTCTTTTCGTTGGAGGCCCCAGGGGTCCCAAAAAGCAAAGCCTGGACGCAGAGCGACTGAAGAGATGTCGCCGTGTGCGTTTCTCGGTCACGACGCTGCGAGGTCTGATGTTAAGCCGGGCCTGTCCCCCTACAGGCGGATCTTGGACGAGAAATCAGAAATAGTCAGAATATTCCCAAAATGGCAAAAGATATTCAAAACATCGTCCCCATATTATTCTTCCACCATTTTTGAATCGTCCCCCTGTAGAGGGACAGGCCCGACTGAGGTCTGCTGCTGGGCTCCCTCTCGTCCCGGGAGTCAGGAGTCGTCACCGGGGTGGGGAGGGGCTCTGTGCGGGCCGACCGTGGCTCCCTGCTTCCCGACCTTCGCGGAGGGAGAGAAGCGGAAGGGGGGAGGGGAAGGTAGGAAGGATGAGGGAGGCGGAGGCGGAGGAGGAGGAGGAGGAGGAGAAGAAGGAGGAGGAGGAGGAGGAGGGAGGAGGAGGAGGTCGCGTTGCCTCGAGGAGGAGAAGGAGAAGGAGGGAGGAGGAGGAGAAGGAGGAGGAGGAGGAGGAGAAGGTGAAGGAGGGAGAGGAGGAGGAGGAGGAGAAGAAGGAGGAGGAGACCACGATTACGAGGAGGAGGAGGAGGAGGAGGAGGAGGAGGAGGAGAAGAACGGAGGTCGAGTTGCCTCCCGTCTGGACCACGGGCTGACGGGAAGCGGCACCGGGACGGAGGGGTTGGATCGGGGGGAGGTGGGGGGGGAAGGTGCGAACTGGGGGGGAGGGACACTGGATTTGAGAATGTGGAAGCGGCGGTGGAGATGAAGGAAGAGGAGCGGGGGTGGAGCGCACCTGTCGTGTTGCTGCGCCTTCTCCTGGGGCGGATCCTCCCGTGCATGCTGAAAAGGCTGTGGCTCTCTCAGGCTGCATGTGCCCCAGCAGTCGTGGACGGCATCCAGATCCTCAGAGGAGGAAAAGGTACCCATACCTCTGTCCCCCCTATTTTTCCCTTTTTGGGGCCTCCTGTGAGGCCCTCGTCGCCACCGTTGGATTCGCCTCGAATTTCTGGTCAGAACGCACCCCAGGAGAGGTCCGGGGAGTAGCGGTATGGGTACCTTTTGGCTTCCCCAGATCCCGGCGTCTCCGAACAACTCGCGGCTGCTGCTTTCTCCGTGTTATAGCCGCCTCCGTAGGCTCGTTTCGCGTTCTATTACCTTCCAAGACCAGCCAAGAATGGAACACGTGGCCCCTCCCAGGGATGGGTCCAGAGCTCTGGGGGCCCACGTCACCAAAGCACGTCTTTGTCGCGGCGCTGGTTTGCACGGCGCGTCCAAGCCAATGACGGGTGCAGATTGGCGAAGTGACACACAGGAGCTGTCACCAACAAAGCATGTGAATTCTGACGTTGGTGAAGCACGGGAACCCACGCTCTCGAGGGCACTGTATTTCCGTTGGGTCGGCATGGTATTCAGGAGGCTTCGTGCGGTTTCGCTGGGCTTTTGGGCGCCTCACCACTCATAAACATATTGTCACCATGAGCGGAACATGTGCAACATGCGCAAGGGCGAGTTTACTACCTTATCAGATGCGCAACAAACCGTCGGCCGAGTTTTCTGGTGTAGTATCAGGTCAACGGACTGGGCGATGCAGCCGAACAGATTTCGCTCGGAAGTTGTGACCGGTGATGCGCAATCATAACCAAACACGGCCAATCAACTAGTGGAACGAAGTGCACACGCATATCAGCACTGGATTGGGTGTGGTCACATGTGCAAGCCTGCTTCGAAACTGATGCAGCAAATCTTGCTTGCGGTCATCAAAGTCGCCGTCGCCATCGTCGGAGGGGGTACTGTCTGGCAGCAGCAATCCTCTTCAAACAGATGAAGACCCCCTGCGCAGCAATGTCTAAAAACGTGACAACATGTCAGGCTCCAGGAAGGCCTACGTCCGAAGATGTCGTGTATGCCCCGCTAGATCCTCCTAGTTCCAGTTGTGACATTAAATGTTCTCTTGCCTGCAAGCGAACAATGATGGACGCTTCCCAGCCACTCCCAGATCTCCCACGTCATGTCCCGTTTATTCCGTGTAATGTTGAAGCCGAAGAACGCCGACATGATGCGTCCCTTGAACATTGATACTAACACATTGAACCTGTCCATCTTGACAACTGAATTGATTCAAGCAACGCGAAGTCTCGATTCAGTCCGAAGGTCCGTGGTGGCGGGGCCAGTGGTCAGCGTGGGGTTGCGCCCAGAGGCTATGGGAGGAGTAGCGCTGACCCATTCTGCCCAGGATGTCGGTGATCCAGTGGCTCTCCGACGTGTTCTCAGGAGCTCCGGGCCTCCACCGTCGATTGTTTACCACACAAGGTGTTCATTTTTGCGGCTAGCTGGCATTGACTTGCCATGTGGAGGAGAGGTGTGAGCGGAGGCGGGTAATTTGCAGCGTCGAGACACCTAGCCTAGATGTTCATATGGTGGCAGGCATCGGAGAGGAACGCTTTGCATAGACCAAACATGTTACTGATTTTCCCGCTCTCTACACTGGCGTCGCGCTTGTGTCTGCCCATGCCCTATGTTGACAGGTTTCATGCGGCTGATTCGAGTCATTCGATTGCTTCAGGCTGTTGACTGGGACGTCGGTCCAACGGAAAGGGACGTGGCAGTATTGGCAGTTGCCGACTCCTAGGGTGGCCCTCGCAAGGAATGTGCCCAGCAGGCTTCAGACCCCAGAGGATTCTTTATCCAAATGCGGCGACGGTGATTCCCATGGCAACTCCACGACAAGATTTCCGACGGCTTTGTGGCCCTGGATTATTTCCCCTGTGGTGATTTCTTCAAGAGGCCTACGCCAGTCCGCCGACCCCCAGAAGTATGCGGGGAGTCCACGACTGATGCGCTGTGGGTTTCTTGGGCAGCATCCGGGGACGCTTGTAGGCGTATTGGGAGCTGTTTGGGGGCCGGGTGGAGCTTCTTGGGGGGCAGTCTTGAAGCGTCTGGGTCTGGGTCTGCCGCTTGGGGGCCTCTGTCGGGCCTCCATGGGCGGGCCCCTTCGGGCCTGCCGTGGGGCCTTTTGGGGGGCAGCCTTGGGGGCCTCTTGGGGCCTCTGGCGCTTAATTTTCCGCGGCCCTCGCCGCAGTAGTGCTCTCCCGTGTGCGCCCCGCCCGTCCATCCTGCTCTGCCTTATGGGCTTGTTTTTTTTTACCACCACCACCACCATAAGTCGGAGGGGGGAAGGAGGAGGAGGAGGAGGAGGAAGAGGAGGAGGAGGAGGTGGAGGAGGAGGCCCCCCTTCCCCTCCAACCTATGGTGGTGGTGGTGGAAAACAGGCCCATCACTGCCTGCTGCGGCTCCCCGCGCGCGCCTGCTCACTCGGCCCCCTAGCCCGCGATCCCGCACCGCGGCGCGGCGGGCTCGGGCCACTGCTCCTCAGCTCGCCGGGTGCGGAACGAATGGGTACACATCGGCGCCACCCAACCATCTTACACGCCAGTCGTTGAAAGTAGGTGCTTGTGGATACTAAGATCCTACTCTATTTCGAGCGCCTCCCTACTTCAAGAGTCGAGCGGTTGTCTCTGTTATTTCCTCTTCAGGGGGTGGGCAGAAGTCCAATCTACTCCAAGCGCCTTCCGAATTCATGTTTCTGCCCACTTTTTCCGACCGGCGGGTACGCGTCGCCCCAAGGGGCGACGCGCGCGCCGAGGAATCGTATAGTGTATGCTTCGTGGCGGGCGCTTTCTGGCCGTACCGCTGGGGAAACGTATGCTACACGATGGTTGTATCATATGTTCGGGTCGGAAGCACGCTTCCCAGGAGGACAACTAGTACTAGTGCGTCCTTGTGCGTCCCAACAGAGACCGACAGCAGTTCCTGCTCATCTTGAACAGGGTTCGCTGTCCATGCTGCCGAGGGCGCTGTTCCTTTGCGGCAGGCGGCCGCGGTCGGGTTTGGACAGCATTTGTTTTTGGACATCGTACGAAGCGAGCCCAGGACGGGGGGGCACTTTTTGTGATAATCCCTGTGCTCCAGTTTCTGGGCCCTGGTTAACGAAGGCACGTCTCGCCCCCAGACGTTTGCGGCCACAAGGTGGCCAGAGTGAGGCGATGCTTGACACGGTCATGCAGATGCAAGCGAGGACACGAAAGGACGGAACGTGTCTCCCGCCATGCCCACGACAGGATAGCGTCCCAGGTCACAGTCCGCATTGCTTCAGCTGCGCGGTAACGTACGCGGCAGGGTACGGGCCACGGTAGGTTCGCGCCGCGTGGACGCGGCGCGGGCGCCAGGGCGGGCATTCAACGCAGAACGCCGCCAGTGGCACAGAACCAGTTGACATCGTTCTCTTGCGATGTCGAAACGCCGCGCTCGTTCATTTGGTGTTCGATCGTAGATCCTTTGTCGAATAACAGCCACCGGGCTTTCGCGCCGAAAGCCACGGGAAACCGCCGAAGACAGTCAGAAACCGCCGAAGACCGCCTGAAACCTCCGAATATTGCTGGAGATTGTCAGAAGACCGTTGATGACCGCCAACTGTCGAAGACTGTCAGAAGACCCCGTTCAAGGCCGATGTGTGACACGGGGTCCCGTGGCCGAATATTTACCTAGCGTTCAGGGCCGACACGCGGCTTTCAGAGACCCAGCGCTGACGTCGTCGGCACGACACGTCCTTCGCCACACACACCAAGGACACCATCTAGGATTTGCCATGCTTGCCGAGGGCCCCAATCGCCCATTCATCGCCGATAGGGGCGATAGGGGCCCGATAGCGCAACCCGCCCTGGAACGTGCGGATTCGCTTGTGACACGGGGTCCCGTGGCCGAATATTTACCTAGCGTTCAGGGCCGACACGCGGCTTTCAGAGACCCAGCGCTGACGTCGTCGGCACGACACGTCCTTCGCCACACACACCAAGGATACCATCTAGGATTTGCCATGCTTGCCGAGGGCCCCAATCGCCCATTCGTCGCCGATAGGGGCGATAGGGGCCCGATAGCCCACCCCGCCCTGGAACGTGCGGATTCGCTGTCGGGGGCCTACAGCCGATCTCTCGGCGATGCAATTCTTTCCGACTCCAGCTCGATGTCTACCCCCATAGGCCGATCCACCCTCAGTGTTGCCCCTCGTTGGCGTGAGCCCTCCAAGGTCGGACGATGCACGCGGTGTCAGAAACAACGCCTGGCGTCGGTGACCCAGGTAGCCCGCCAGGGGGCGCGGGGGCGCGAGGGGGGGGGGCTTGTACGGCAGCTGCCGCGCCTCGGCGGGCACGCCGGAGGCGAGGAGGCGAAGGCCTCGCAGCCGTGGCGTCCGACGGGGCGGCCTTTCTTCTGCGAGCTGCCATCCGGGGTGCCTAACGGGGCCAGCCTGCGCTGCCCGATCGCAACTCCAGGCCTCACCAGGGCGCCTCAGCGCTTTTCTGCGCCAGTCCGAGGATGCTCGCGAGCGATTTTTTATCCCCCGACCCCCGACCTTCGAGGAAAGATGCCGCTCAGAAAGGGAGGGGAACCCTGGGGCGTACCCCCAGATGGCTATTCGGATGCACCCCTATCGAGGATGGGCGCCCCCCCATCGTATGTGCCAGGGTTGGGCCCGAAATTCTAGGTCCATCTGAAAACCCACGGAGCCTGGGATGGGGTTCGACATGTGCCCTGATAGATGCCCCTGCCTTCTCGTTCCCAAGTGTCTCGGCCCGCTGACCCGCTCCGCAGCCGTTTTGGCTCAGGCATTGCCTGCAAGTGCTCAGGGGGGTGCTGCTCTGCGTGAGGCAACCGAGCTCTCAGAACTCTCCCGAGGCGGGGATTTTCCGTGAAGACCGCCCGGGGGATCGATCTTCGGGGACTTCGGCGTGCGGTGGAGTTATCTTCGAGGCCCCCTGGGGCTAGAATAGATCAATATCCACCGACCGCCAGGGTTTCAGCACCAGAGCGCCCCAGGCGATGGATATGGATCTTAGCTACCTCGATTCACCCGTTTTGATACGCAGCGCGTGCCGTGCTCAAAACTTCCATGTCAATACGTTGCGTGTTGGCTCAACGTATTGGCCCACGTTTTGGATAACGCGTCGCGTCAGACCTACGGTTTCAGTCTACGTGTTGAGCTCCGCATCAATGCGCTACGTGTTGCGTGTTGCGTATCGGAGCAGCGCAGATACGGATATAGCCCCGCCTCGCAAGGACGGCCAGGGAGGACGGCCATGGCGCTCTCGGGAGCGGTGTGCACAGTCTCCGTGCAGGCCGACCTCGAGACCAGCGGCACCCTCTCTCGGCTGCAAGGCACATACCGGGAGGAGAGCCCGGGCGTGTACCGCCGCGAGGACGGCGAGTTCTACCTGCTCCGGGTCGAGGACACGACCGGCCTGAAAAAGTGGCAGCGAGGTGCCCAGCCATTGACTACACGTAAGCGTGACCCTTCGCCGGAGTGACCTTTGGTGCGGGCCCATTGGGGTCCCCCGATCGCCAAACGCGAGGCAGCAGCGTCTTGCGCACCCGTGTGTGCCCCCCCCTCCCCCCGCGGCCCCCCAAAAGCAGCGCCCCAGAGGTCACTCCTACGCAAAGGTGGCTCCTGCGTGTGGCCCAAGACATGCTCGCGTCGTGGAAATGGAAAGGAAAATCATCCTACGACGTGCTCAACCCATCGGCACCAAGGGATGATATTGTGCCGACAATAGTGCGACAGAAACACTCACCGAGCGCGTTCCTATACTCGCAAAGTGCATACTCGCAGATCCAGGCCATTTGCGAGTAGTCACTTTGCGAGTAGTGGAACGCGCTCGTCTAAACACTGCAAAAGACGGTGCACGGCGGATACCTATAGATCGTGCGAAGTGTGCTTGGCCGGCTCGCAGAGTAGAGGTACAAAATGCCAGGAGGCACTGCATTGTGAAGGAGAAGCGACATGAAGATATCGGGGTGAAAGAACAATCGTCTCGCCCCCCCCCCGCAGACCTCAAAAGTGGCGACATATTCACACTTCGCAGCCGCCCAGGGATGGCGAGGTCTCGTTCGGATCTGCGTGAGCCCCCACTCTGCTGCCCCCCAGCAGCCCTCGAAAGTAGCGACAGTTTCAAATTGCACAGCCTCCCGGGGATGGCGAGGTCCCGGTTGGATCTGTGTGTGGCCCCATTGTCGGCTCCCCCTGCAGCCCTCGAAAGTGGCAACATATTTACACTTCGCAGCGCCCCCAGGGACTGCGAGATCCCCGTTGGATCTGCGTGTGGCCCCACTGTGCTGGTTTCCCCAGCAGCCCTCGAAAGGGCGACAGTTTCACACTTCGCAGCCCCCTCCAGGGATGGCGAGGTCTGGGTTGGATCTGCGTGTGGCCCCACTGCGCGGGCTCTCCCAGCAGCCCTTGAAAGTGGCGACAGTTTCACACTTCGCAGCCCCCCAGGGATGGCGAGGTCCCCGTTGGATCTGCGTGTGGCCCCACAGCGCGGGCTCCCCCAGCAGCCCTCGAAAGTGGCGACAGATTCACACTTTGCAGCCCCCTCCAGGGATGTCGAGGTCTGGGTTGGATCTGCGTGTGGCCCCGCTGCGCGGGCTCTCCCAGCAGCCCTTGAAAGTGGCCGCAGTTTCACATTTCACAGCCCCCCCGGGGATGGCGAGGTCCTGGTTGGATCTGCGTGTGGCCTCTTTTCGCGGGCTCCCCCAGCGGCCCTCGAACGTGGCGACAGTTTCACACTTTGCAGCCCCCCAGGAATGGCGAGGTCTGGGTTGGGGCTGCGTGTGGCCCCACCGTGCAGGCTCCCCCAGCAGCCCTCGAAAGGGCGACAGTTTCACACTTCGCAGCCCCCAGGGATGGCGAGGTCCGGGTTGGATCTGCGGTTGGCCCCTTTTCGCGGGCCCCCCCCCAGCAGCCCTTGAAAGTGACGACAGTTTCACACTTCGCAGCCCCCCAGGGATGGCGAGGTCCCCGTTGGATCTGCGTGTGGCCCCACTGCGCGGGCTCCCCCCAGCAGCTTTTGAAGGTGGCGACAGTTTCACACTTCGTGGCAGGACATTGCGAGAGGAGGGAGCCGAGAGAAGAGTGGGGGGGGTGGGGCGAGGAGGATGATGAGGAGGAGGAGGTGGAGACCCCACTGCTCTATTCAAAACGAGAGCCCAAAGGGAGGGTTGGGGAAAACACGACACGGCTCGGGATGAAGAATGCGTCTAGGGGAAGGGGTCGCGACACCTGGGCTGGGATTTCTGGGTACTTCTGGAAGGGTTCTGGGGCCGAGGTCTTGGCGTGGTAATGCTTCATACGGGATTGGTTTCGCCCCGGGCGCCGGGACCTGCGCAGATCGATTGGGCTTGGAAAGTGCACCAGAGAAGTTTGGGTCTAAGGCTCCAGTCGTGATCCCTCACGGTGCTGCAGTGTTTTCGCGTCGTCGGACTTTTGGGGCAGCGGGGGAGGTCCTGTGGTCCGTCCGGGCGCAGCCCCCTTGGGCCGTCCGTGGTTCGTGTTGAAGGCTTGGTGTCTGAGCGAGGGAGGTTGTGTGGCTCGCGATGGCAGTCCGGCCTCGGGGGCGTGGTCGGTCACCACCCACCAAACCACCCCAACCCGAAATTCGGGTCTTCGGGTTGGGTTGGGGTGGTCTGGTAAGTAGTCAGTCGGGAGTTCGGGGCGAGGCGCCCGGAAAACATCGGGACATCGCATGTCTGAGTCCTGCGGCCGAGCCCAGGAAGCCCCGTCCCCTCCTCCTGCCTCCTCTGCCTCTGCTCCTTCTCCTTCTCCCTTCTCCTCCTCCTCCTCCTCCGCCTCCGCCTCCCTCTTCTCCCCCCCCCGCCTCATCATCCTGCTCGCCCTCATGCTCCTCCTCCTCCTCCTCCTCCTCCTCCTCCTCCTTCCGTAGCCATTTTGGCTCAAGCCGTATCGGCTCAGGGTGGTCTGCGCGACCCGCTCGGCCTGGCCCCCCCCGACCCGTTCCTCGGGTCTTCCTGTTCCCGCTCCCTCGGGCCGGGCGCGCCCCGGCCGTCGGCCGCCCGCCCTCTGTCCCTCCCACTCCAGCCATGGCTGAGGCCGCATTGATCGGCCTGCATGCACTGCCTGGACAGACTCCACCTCTTGCCCCTGCGGGGGCCGTGGGAGGGATTGTGCCGCCGCCCGCGCCCGAGGTACAGTCGGAGGTGTCCGTGCAGATCAGCGCCTTGACGGCGATTGTGAAAGAGGGGTTCATTTCGCACACAGCAGAGTTTGAGTTGTTTCGCCAGCAGATGACAGCGATGGGGACCAACTTCGATCGAATGCAGGAGGAGTTCGCGGAGATGAATCGTCGCTCGGACGCTCGTTGGGCTGAGATAAAGAAATCACAGGACGCAGCGATCCACCAGGTCTCTGTTGACACAGATGCGAAGTTGGCGGCAGTCGTGGCAAAGATCGACGCTCATATGCATGAGTTACAGCAGAAGCTCTCGGCAGGTTCGTCGACTCGTGCCGATTCGGAGTTCGAGCTCGTGGGAGGTGATGGGGAAGGAGGGCGTCGGACGAGGTTGAGGGCGTCGGGCCCCGACCAAGCCAGTGCTACTCGTCTCATTGTTCTAGGTTTTGAGAAGCCCCTGCTGGAAGCGTCTCTCAAGGAAGCGGCGGCCCCGATTGTCGCCGCGTGTAGTCCAGCTGGTGAAGGACCGATCGTCCGAGCATACTCCCTCACGCGGAAGGTGATCCTTGACTTCCCCAGTACTCTGTCGTGCACGGCGTTCTTCGGTAAGAGCCAGACCATTGGTAAGACTGTGTACCAGAACCCGATTGATAACCAGGGCTGGGAGCTCCGCGCGCGTCGTGACTTGCCCCCCGCTAGCCGTAAGTTGTTCTTCTACCTGGGACAGACTCGTGCGATCACCGGGAAGGTCTTGGGGGAGAAAGGTTTCCAGGTGGGCAGCAACGGTCTTGGCGGTCATATATACGGTCTCATTACGGCTACCCACCCAGTGATTCTTGCGAAGGTCACGGTCCTGGAGTGCGGTCGCCCCGAACTCGTTCTGATTCCTGAGGCCCTCGGAACGTTCGGAGTTGGAGAGCGCGCTGGCTGCATTACGACCCTTTTTGATCAGATTCGGCCCTTTGTGTGAGGCCCACAGTTGTCCTGAAGCACCCTGCCTCGGGACCCATTGTGCGCTGCCTGGCCATTTTTGTCGGGTCCCTGGTGGTTCGGGCCCTCCCTGGGATGCGGGGCCTGTCGGGGGTAACCATCGGACCCGTGTGCCGACAAGCCAGGACAGTGCTCAGTCAGCCAACCAGTATTTTGACCTGAATTCAGGCGGACCGTTTTCCCCTGGTGACCCGTCCTCTGGAGCGAATGGGGTGTTTGCTCCCTCCTCTGCGCGTACCTTGTGCTCTTGGAATACACGTGTTCTCTTCTCATCGTACTCTACTCCGTCTCCATTGGCAGCTCAGCGGTATAAGCAGATGTATGGTCTTGTTGGCAGGTTCGACGCTGTGTGTTTACAGGGGACTCATGGCGCAGTGTCTGATGTGGAGATTCTACAGTGGGATGACCGTTGTCGCAGTGCAATTGTTCACCATTCGATGATCGATCCGAGGGATGGGGGCAGTGTGGTCACCGTTATATCGAGTAAGCTGGCTTCGCAGTTCGAATCGATCACTCCGTTCCCCTTGATTGCTGGCCGAGTTCGCGCCTCGCACCTGAAGGGACGTCGTGGGGACCTTGTGATTGTCAACGTTCATATGCCGAACACTTTGGATCCTGTTGCGATGTATCGCAGGTACTTGTGTGTGATTCAGGCTTTCCTTCCCTTGGCTGCGCACATTATGTGCTTGATTGCAGGGGACTGGAACTTCATGGAGGTGGAGGAGGGGCGATTTCGGACTGACGGAACGTGGCTAGCAGGGGATAGGGGACACACTGAAGCATTTCAGTCTATTTGCGGGTCTTGGGCAGAGCTTTTCCAACCTGATCCGGCACGGCGAGATGTGTTCCAGGGAGAAGTCCGCGGGGTTGCCCGTCTGGACCGCATCTACACTACTCTCTCTGCCCCCGTCTTGAATGACTTGGCAGTGACGGTAAATACCCTGGGACATGCCGTGAAGACCTTCGCCTCGTCCGACCATACCCCCTGCGGCGGCTACTGTCGCTCTGAGAATGCCATCAGCGTTACCCACCCAGATTCCGAAGTGGATCTCCAGACATTGTGTTTACCATGAGTTATGTGCCAGCGCCATTATGGAAATCGGCCAAGATTTGACCCCTCGAGAGAAATTGGATCGGGTGATGGAGATTTGTTTGGCAGATGGCCCCTCTGTTCAAGGCTCGGCTTCGGATGAAGCCCCCGAAAGAGAATTGTGAACAGCTCCACTTCGCTATGATGGCTTTCCGTGGGTGGCGCATGAGCAGGTTCGACCAGTGTG